AATGAATGTCTGGGTATGTGAATGGCTAAAATAGCACAACTTTGTATAAGTATTTACAAAAAAACAAACAACAGTGTGAATGTTGATCCAGCATTCTCATTAATAATGTGATTTGAACCCTGTCTAACTGAGAAACTGTCCTCTGCAGAGACAACAAAGGCCTCTGATGCTGCAGCTCCTGAAGGTGACCTTTAATTACAGTTCATATTTAGGCCTGTAGGGGGCAGTAAAGGGCAGTTTTAAAAATCAGACATGAGACATGTCTCATCTGAAACGCTTCATTTGTTTCCCTTTCACACAGAATCAGAGTGTGAGTGCTCTGAGGACACTGAGGGTGAGTCAGTGAAAAGACATCTTTCAGAAAGTTCATATTAAACTTCTGTTCAGCTGCCACTTCATGCTTGTATTTGTCATTTTCTGACAGGGAGACAAAGACGAGGTGAGATGGTCATTTTGTGATGTTTATTCATTTTGATTAGGGATGAAAATAAAGACATAAAGTTTCCAAAAAGTTGGTCAATTCAATATGTTTTTCTAGATGCAGAGTGTCCTGGGAGCAGTTCGGGTGAGTTAAAACACACTTTTTAAGAAATCCCTTAAGAGTTCACCTGATCCAATGTGTTTCTTCTTGTTCCCTACAGATGAAACCACTCAGAAATCACCTGAAGAAAAAGGTTAAAACCTCAGTTTGTAATATGACAAAACAAAATTATAGGGAGGACAGAACTGGGCTCAGGAACCCAGTTCCTTGACCCAGAATTTACCTGCAGAGACTTGATTATGGTGAAATGTTTGGAGCAGAGCAGTAAAAAGTCTAAATTGTGGGTTGCGCAATGAAGCAGAGGGAAAACAGGACTGGTCACAGCCAGTTTCAGCTAGATGTTTAAAAACATTTATAGTGTTGACTTCTCTCAAGTCTGTAGTTAAAAAAAAAAAAAAACTCAAGCTAGACTTTACCCTTACTTCATGGCCGCAGAGAGTTTACTATATTTAGTTTTGCTTAAATGGGTAATTAAGTCACCACAGAGTTGAGCTAATCTGATTTGACCTAAAAAAAAAAGTGAGATTTGTTTGTTTGAACCTCTTTGTATGTGAGTAAATGTAGGACAAGAATCCAGGACACTTGAAGACGTCCCCAGGTTCTTATTGGGCTTGATTTATGCAGTTTCATTAAGTTATTTCAAGATGAAGGATGCACCTCCTGAAAGAGCTGCCTTTGGTTTAAGCTTGCTGATGAACTTCAGATATTCTCAGGGAGTTGCTCAGCATCTTGCAGCAAATCTTAAACCTTTGGGGAGTAGAATCTGCCTCTGACAGGAAAAAAATTAAGAAATACTGCTGCATTCATAATTCATTCAGTCCCACTCAGGGAGTGAGTCAGAAACACCTTTTGATTCAGAGTTGCAGAACAGCTGCATTGTGATGTGTAAAGCTGGCGTAAAGGAATCCTGTCTGTCCCCGTCACACAGATATGTGAAAAGCAGCACGAAGACCCCAGCGATTAGCCATCACCCTGTGCCTGAGCTGCATCACACCTCCCATCAATAAAAGGGGAATAATCCCACCTATCTGAATAACTCGTCTCCTGTTTTCTGTCACACAATCACAGCTTTTATTGGGTGAATGTTTATGAAGCATTCACACTTTTTCTCATTCCTGAGTTTTTGTGCTATTTCAACAAATCATATATCAAAACATTCAGCTCGTCAGAAGGGTGGTATTGGTGCAACTTTAGCCTTTTATGCCCCTTTTTTCTCATAGAAAATGAATTGAGCTCATTTTGCATCCTTCTTATCTTTAGATCTGTTTACATCCTTTTACTGCTCCTTTCACATTTTGTTTTGGTTCAGCTTCTTGATGCAAAGCTAAACTTTTTTTTTTAGCTACTTTCAGCTGTTTTGTGCTACTTTCCGGTTCTTTATGCCAACTACATTTTTGTGCTTAACTTATTTCTGCCATTTTCAGTTTATTATGCTCCTTTCAGCTTATTTATGCAAGTTTCAGATTGTTCTGCTATTTCAGCTACTATTTAGCTGTTTTAGCTTTTTTGGCCAATTACACTTTTTTTTTTTTCACTCCTTTCAACTTTTTTCACCCTAATTCAGCAACGTGCTCTCGCCACTTCCTTCCGGTAATTTAAGCTTCTGATTTTTTAGCTACTTTTCAGCAGTTTTGTTTTTGCAAATTTCAGCTTTCCCCCCAGATAATTTCCTTTTTTTTAATGCTCATTTTTGCTTCTTTCAGCCTCTGATTTCTTCTGCTAATTTAAGCTTTCAGCTGTTTTCAGATAAATTCAAGTTTCTCTGCCAATTTAAGCTTGTTATGCTAATTTCAAATAATTTCTGCTTTCAGCTATTTTTATATTTTTTTCCAGACGATTTCACATTTTTGGGCTCATTTCAGCTTCCTTCGGGTAGTTTAAACTTCTTTATGCCCTTTTTGGCTACTTTTTCCCTAATTTAAGCTTTGTTTTTAACAAATTTTCTAATTTTTAGCTTAATTTCTGCTTAAACTTAATTCAGCAAATATTTTCTGCTTTCTTTTACCAACTTAGGCTTCTTTCACTTCAGCATGTTTTTAGCCAATTGTTTTTCAGCAAGTTCTTCTGCAACAAGAATTCATATTTTCATTTTCTCAGGAAATAGTTTCTCTAGTTATACGCAGCATAGGGCCAATTTTTCCATAAATAAGTCAAGGAATACAAGTAGTTTTATTTCCTTCCAATTTTTATTTCAACTTTTTTCATCCACAAGCGTGGAGCACATTTTGTCATACAAAAACAAAATCTTTGGTACTAACAAAAAATAAAAATTAAGGCAACTACAGCGTCTACAGATGTGAAATGCATTTAATTCTGCAGTCAAGCAACCACACACCGGTGGCATGCAACATACTGTATGTTTGCACTCATCCTAAAGAGCTCTGCTTCAGAAAACTGCAGCTTTTACTTCCAGTTTTAAAAAGGTCTCCTTCCTTTTTTCTTTGAACACTCAAAAAGGAAAAAGGCATCTAGAACCTAATCGCCTTAAAGGTGCAACCATACTAGAAGTAGCTGCTCTAAGGTGAACGGGGGAAAAATAAGGCAAGAACCATCAATGCAATCAAGTTTTAACAGGAGACTTTAAGTTGTTTTTTTTTAAGTACATAATTTGTGCTGGTTGACATTCTATTCTCACATCGAGGTGATCAGTTTCAGGCAGATGGAAACACAATTTGGCCTTTGTCATTTTTGTTCTTGCCTGGAACTGTGCCGACCTTTAAATGTTCACAAAATGATATGTTTTTAATTATTCTGCCAATGCTCACATAGCGTGTACTCTTCTACCATGACAAATTAAACTGCAGCACTCTGTTATGATATGGTTGCAGAATAAGATATAAACCACAAAATTAACTTCAGCAAAAACTTTTTTGTTCTTTATAAGAAACAATGTGCGAACTGAGAAGACCAGGATGTGTGGTGTAAGATATAAAATACTTGGTAGTTGAGCATAAACAATAACCTTGTTTTTAATCCCATAAACAGCATTACTTTCAGCATGTGTTGACTGGAGAATTACATTTGCAAAGAGCTAATACTGCATTTTTAAACGTGTTGTGTAAAATCAAAAATAAAACAGTCACTGTATATACAAAGAATTGCAAAAACAAAATAAAATAAAACTAATTAATTAGTATTAACAATATCTCAACAGATGCAACTTTTTACAGAATGATAAGAAAAGTTTCCAATCGGAACAAACAGCAAAATCTAGGTTGATTATGAACCACAGGAGCGACAAGTCTTTTCAAATGTTTCTTTTTCTTCTAAAATGGTTGGCTCAAGGTAAGCGATATAATTTGGCCTTCCAACTTTACTCTTTTTCTCTTGGTGTGCACTGAAGCGGTTTCTTTTCCCTCCCCAGCTTGGGATGCAGTTGCATGCTCAGAAGATGCCATAGATGAAGATGGCCATGATGGCAGCGCTGATCAGGCCAGAGATGGGTACAGTCACAAACCACGCCATGAAGATATTTCTAAACAAACGCCAATCCACCGCCTTCTTTGAGCGAAGCCATCCTACTGCAACCACAGAACCCACCTGAAAACACAGAAAATGTTAGAAAATTCTCATCAGCTTCCATTAATGTGTAAAATACTGAGAAGGAACTAGTGCCATATTTGGACTTTCCAGCAGACGGTTTACTGGATTTTCCTGCGTCTCATTCAAATGTCCAAACCACAGTGTTTAACTAGCCTACCTTGCAGTGGGTGGTGGAGACAGGCAGACCAATGTTTGAGGCAACCACGACAGTCAGGGCTGAGGCCAACTCAATGCTGAAACCACTGCAGGAAAAAGGAAAACAACACTCATGTGATGTGTCTGAGTGGCCTGCTAAATTCAGAGACTGGTTAATGTCTGCAAAGGATGTGGCTTTAATGACTGGGAGAAACAACTTCTGTGGTGTCTAGTCTGTACCTTGAGGGTGTAATGGGTGTAAGGTCCTTGCCCATAGTCTGGATCACCCTGCGACCCCATACCCAGAGTCCAGTGCAGATGCCCACGCCGCCATACAACAGAAGCCAAGTGGGCGCCACCATGTTTGAGGTCACGCTGCTTGTTGTGTAAACCAAATACAGAGCTATCAATGGTCCAATGGCATTGCTGCGGAACAAAAAGTGAGGTTATTTCAACAACTGTCAGTCATGAGATTAAAATGTCAAACAACTTAACAGAACGCAGGTTTTATCTTATCAGCCTGACGACTAGTAACACCATGACCTTCAATACACAGCCCTTACCTCACATCGTTTCCACCATGAGCAAAAGATCCAAAGCAGGCCGTAAGGATCTGTAGGAACTGAAACAAAGTTGAGACTTCTGGCTTGTCTTCCTCAAGCTTGTCATCTATAGAGCTTTGGCTGCTGCCTGCATCTTCATTACTGATTTCTAGTGTCACGTCACCTTCTCCTAGACCTTCAGGGGTTATGTTCTCTGCCACAGCGTTGCAGTAGCTGGTGTAACTGTCCATGCGGATACGCTTCTTTTCATGACCACCAGACCCAGGGCCCTTGTCGCCATCCTCTACAGCGCGGAGGTCTCCTTCTTTGTGTTTGAAGTCTCCGTGCATGCCGATGATGGCCATAGTGTATGAGGTGTAGCTGTTGTTCCGTCGGATGGGTCGGTCACCCGCCTCACCCATGCAGTCACCAACCTTGGCCAGGTGGAGCTTGTGTAGGAGGTCTTTGTAGAGGCCTGAGTCCTTGTGGACTGTGTGGTACTGGGAGTAACCATTATTTGGAATCTGTGTTGTTCTGTTGTTGAACTGGGTCTGGTTGTTGAAGTGGACCTGATTCAGAGCGTTTGCACAGCCGTTATCGTTGTGTACTTGGTTGTTAGTTTGAGGGGTTTTGGAGGCTTTAGAAAAGAAAGGGATAAAATACATTAAAGTTAATTCATGACTGAATTGTACACCACCTAAGCTGCCACAGAATAATTTTAATAACATCACTAGTTGTTTCTTGGCAAACATACCACTACTTTCATTGCTGTAGTCGGGGTCATCTGAATCTCCAATGTTAAACGCCACCCTGCGTTCCTTATTTTCCCCGTCATCAGAATCTCCAATGTCAAACGCCACCCTGCGTTCCTCGGGGGCAGGCTGGGGTTCAGAAGATGAGTCCTGATTGACAGCTGGCACAGTAGGTGCAGACGTTTCCTTGGCAGTCTGTTTCAAGATGGGACAGTGGGCCTCACTGAGCTCCCTCTTTTCCATCAGGGGGCTCTCAGAGGGGCTGGAAGACTTGTTATCTCCTAGCAGGAGAGAAGATAAAATGGATCATGTCCAAACATATGTGATCCAGAAAAGAAATTCTAGATGAGCACATGTGTACCTTTTAACTTAATCTGTAAGAATTGTGTAATAACAGAATCAAGAAGCTTTTGTCCCATTAACATTTCACAAGTTTAACATCTGTTCACAGGATCAGATACATGGACTGTATCTATAGTAGTTAGCAAGTAAAAATAAAAATATCCATTTAATAATTAAAGTAATATTATAATGATATTAACAATAATAAAAGACTGTATGATGGAACACAAAACAGAGAGCTCATTTTATAAAGAAAACCAGAAACTATGTTGCAGTGTATTCTCTGATAAATATAGAAATGAGTTGACCGTGAAGCTACAGTACGGTACACCATTTAAACCTCTTTAAGGTTAGAGCTTAAGCAGATATCCTCCTCCCCTTTTTCCAGTACACAGCAAAAGTCAACACCTTAACTCAACTTAGGGTTATTTTAGGTTTTGAGCCGACAACCAATAATAGAATCACTTTGACCCAATTAACCAACTTGTGCACTGATTAGAGGCACACCTAGAAAGATCACGCACGGTCAGATTACCCTAATCTTGAAATTTAAAGATGAATTTTTCAGACACACAATAACTCCTTTTAAAGACCATTTCTGATAAACAGTTTGAATTATGAATTTTTCTGTGATTTTGTAGTCTTCCACTGTGAGTTTTTGTGCACATTTCATAGAGAAATGAAAAAAAAAAATGTGCACGTACTAAAAAAAAAAAAAAAAGAATAAAACACACATGCATGATGGTTAAATTGTACGTTGCCCCTACATCCAAACCATACATTCTGTACCCCTTCTAACAAAATGTTAATCCAGGATTATAAAGTATATTTTCAGGTGACTTGTCCAAGTGCCTCATTTATGAAAAAAAAAAATAAAAATCCTCCTGAATTCCATTTGCTGGATTAACATAAGCCTTCCTAGAAATTAGGTTGAGACTGCAATGACTGATTTACTTAATGGCTAAAAGAGATTTTTCAGAAGTCAGAGGAAGCTGATGACAATTTGAAAGATTTTTTTTGCAACACACAAATAGGACTTACGTTCAATCTTCTTCTTGAGTAGAGGGCAGACGATAAACCAGACCACAATGGCGGTCAGCAGAGAAGTGCCCAGTGAGATGAGTAAGATGCCCCACCAAGGGATTTTGTTAGATCCCAGCACTGAGGGATCACCAAGGTCCACACGAAGAAACACAAAAAAGGCAAATAGAAAAAGGGCAGTTTATAAGACAAGGTAGCAGGAGCTACCATTAAAGTACAAAGCCACATATGTAAAAACAGCAACAATATAATGGTTTAGTTTGTAAGAAAACGTAAACCATTGTAACAATTACAAGCATACAAGTTGGAAAAAAAAAAAAATAAGATTTTGAAGTTAGAGGAGAATTTTTCTTCTACATATAATATGAAAGGCACAAGTGATTAAAAATCACCTACAGGGCAAAAATGTCTACAACCATGACAAGTTTTTACTCTAAATATGCCTGCAATACTTGATTGTGCCACATTTAAAAAGGAAATGCATGTGTAGCTCCATGTGAACAGTTATGCAACAGGTAAGGTGAAGTAGCCCAAATGTCACCATGACTCCTAAATACTCAGCAACTGTGCATGGACAAGGAATTCCTTAAAAGGAGCTAAAAAGGGAAAACAAGAAGGGGGTGGGTAAAGTTGTAGTCGTTTGCTATAGGGCACTCTTGCCAAGACTGCAGCAAAGTTGGTGCAGTAGACGTAAATGCAGCACAGTACGTGCAGGGAGTATCTTGAATTTCCCTTTGGAGCTAGTTATTTTTGTCAGACAATGCAAGTAAGCATTAAAGTTCAGAGAAAACAAAAAGGAAATGGCTGAAAAGACCAATGCTGCTTCTGACCAGGTGACCTTGGCTGTGCATAATTTCAAAAACTTGCTTGGGGAGGTTTGGTTTGTTTAAGATAAACAAAAGGAAATGAGGGGTAAGGGTAAGTGATAAGTGTGTGCTTCCAGGTTAATTTGAGGGCAGAGTCCACGATGCACTCTCTACGTTGAGTCACGCTGCAGCACAAGACTGCAGAGCATCAAACTGATGTTTACTTAGTTACGCAATAAAATTTCACAGCCTTCAGAACAGGCAAACAATGTGGCTTTGTAGGAGTTGAGCTTCTTTTTTATTATAAGAGTAGGCAGACTAATATGTAGTCAGACATCCAGTCATAGGTGTGGTTTAAGTCACAAAAAGCATTACTCACAATTTATACTGTATAAAAAAAGGCTGCATCTAGAATTTTGATCAACACTCCTATAAAGTGAAGATGATCATATTGAACAACCATGAAGTGGGAATGAATGAGAGGACACAGGAAATGAAATTCAACCCTGGCTGTGTTACAGATCACTTCCTGGAAATGTTCAGTAGCTTACATCATCACTCAGTGCCGTAGATAGTTTTGTTTTTCTCTTTTTCCTAACGTGTGCTTTTCACTGCAAAGTTTACTTACAATGATAATTAAACTGTCAGTCAAGTTTATGACTCACTTGGCAATTAAGTCTGATTTTCCAGACCTTTGGGTGCAACTGAATCTGGCATAGACTGAACTAGACACCTTTATTATGCATCTGAGACGAAAATATATCTGTGATACAACAGCTGTCAAAATCCACTTCTGTAAAATAATTAAGATGTTGCTTCAGGACATTAAAAAGTTTTGTATGCAGATGCCTAGCTGCAGAGGACCAGTTTACTACCCTAACCAACCAGCATTAAGCAACAAAAGGGCTTTTTGGGAGGAAATGTAAAATGTGTGTGATTTGTCTCAATTTGTGACAAACTTAAATAAAATTGTGGGAATTGGGCTGTAAATGTTTCAAGGGAATTTTTATTCTACACTAAATGGGGCTGCAGCTACCAGTAAGTGATTTATAATGTGCTGATAAAACCAGTCACCTGTAAATTATTATCAGATGACCCTTACATTCTTTGGCTCAACTTACTATCATTTTCATGCATGCCAACTTAAGCTCTCAATCTATGCTTTTATAAGTACAGGAATGTGCCGCGGGATGCCTGGTGTCACATCACACTGCTATGCTAACGCGCTGATTTGATGAGCCAAGTCTTATAGCAGGACACGCTGTACTCATGTCACTGCAGATACAGCTGCAATAGAGTGCATGGATCAGCTGTATTTGGATTGGCTCCATTTTTCTTTTTCATTTGTCTGTAAATTATGTTGCCTTTCCATCAAGGAAGGCTTATCCTGCGGGACTTGATGATGATGATCGTCCCACGTGGTGACAATCTGTTTGCATATAAACAAAAAATTTTGATGCTTGATGTGAATCATTGATTCACAACTAAAATGTCTAATGTAACGGCTCACACCTTTTATGCGAGGTACCCATTTACTGGACCTCGTGTATTGTGTTCATCCAGATTGTGTCTGACTACGCAGGATTATGGGCTATGCTGGTACTGCAAGTGATCTCCAGTGCACCAAATCTGGTGAAACTCTGGCCTGTGACCACCATTTAAAGGCCCAGGCCAGCTAACATCTTGAACTTTTAGGTCCTGTAGAGAGAAGAACACACAGGAGCAAAAGTAGCTCATTTAATAAAAATGTTTTGGGAGCATTTTAAACTGAAAAAAAGTCATTAATAAAGTCGAAGCAGCAACTATTAGAAAAAGACACGACAAATTCAACAACACTATTTACTTCTCTTTTCCTTCTCCATGACAGTGATGTAAAGAGTTAAGTCTTATTTCCATCACCCTGTGGTGCTCCACTCTAAAACTCGATTCCAGCTTTAACCCACACAGAACCACAAGCATGAGAGACCCAAAAACATGTTAAAATAAACACGGCCTCTGTGAAAATGGTAAACAGTCTGGTTCCATCTGGATGTGTGTGGGAATCCAGCAGCCTGAGGGAGCTGTTTATTCTAAACTGTGGCTGCAGGCAGTCATGCAGAAAAAAAAACGAGACAACAATACTCACTCGGAGCGCCACTGAACAGGATGGACAATAGGTTGATTCCCATGGTTATAGCATAGAAGACAGGCAGGGCCTTCAGCCCATTAGGAACAGGGTCTTTCTGCAAGAAATGAACCAAGCAGCTATTCAGAAATACAAGGAAACTGCATGATGGAACTAGACAAATCTGCTGTCAAGTTACCAGCAAATAAAATAAAAATAAACCTGTGTGCAAATTACATTTACCTTTTGTAGGATGAACTTGCTCACAAAGTAGAAAACAATACCGGACATTATACCAGACAAAAGAGGACTCAGGAACCAGGACGCAACTGTAAATAAGTCGATTTACAATTAGTCAAACATTTTTCATTTCATTGTATGAAGAGTTCTTATCAGGAAACATCAAGATCAACTCTCTGATTTATGAAGTGTTAATATTTTATTTGCAATCCATCTGTGTTCATTTGAATAAACTTGCAATAGACAAACCCAAATGCCCGAACCACATGCAGCAACTGCTTAAAAGCCATTGTGAAATCAGGTCATGTGTCATCTATTGCATCACGCCTTTTCACTTATGTTGACAGCTTAACAAATGTCCCATAATAAATGTCCATATTCTTCATCCATACACCTAAAACTAATTGTTTTAACTATAAAATGTTTATTTTGTGTATGTGTGTGCTGTGGACTTAGATTGGAGTCAGAAAATATAATTTATGACCACCTTTTATTATATGGTCGACCTAAATTTGATAAATTCAGACTTTTGGTCACAACACTTCAGCACACATAATTTTGCTTTTCCATCAAAGTAATACAAAAAGGACAAGTGAGGGTCAACAAAGTAAAATATCTTACCGATACGGAGAAGTTCAAGCCACCTGACTCCTTGTTGACCCTTGGCAACCAGTGAGAAACCAATAGTAGCACCAACAATGCAGTGTGTGCCAGAGATGGGAAGCTTAAGGAAAGAAGCGGCCAGCTGCCACACAGCAGAACCTAAAACAATCAATTAAGAACAGTTCACATTATCCCATCTTTTTATGCAACCATTTGGATAAGATCAGATCAACTACAACTCAAATACTCACCAAACATGGCACTGACAGACCCAGCCATCAGCACGCGCTCTGTCCCGTTGTACATGTTTACATCAATGATACCCTTGCGGATGGTTTCACTCACTTTGGCCCCAAGTAGTACAGAGCCCAGGGTCTCAAACACTGTGGCCAGAATGCACGCTTGTCGCAAAGTTACAACTCCAGAGCCAACGGCTGTGCCAAAAGAGTTCGCAACATCATTTGCACCCACAGAAAAGGCCAAAATGAAGGCGATGACGAAGCCAACAATTAGAAGCCACATGTAATCTGTCAGAGCAGTGGGGGCTGCTGCTGTCGTAGCCAGGATAATTGCAACTGTAGTTGTCGAAACCATGACTGCAGACTATAGTAATTCCTTCACAATTTTAAGGGAAAGTAATGCCTTTGAAAATATCTACACAATACTACTTTAAAACAGTAGCTACAAAAATGAAGAGGTAATGAGGTAAAAATAAATAGCTCTTCTTAAAGCCCACCTGTGTTAACAGGATTTCAACAGTGCAAAGCTGTAAAAATAACTCTGGATCTTAACCAGAAAATAATTAAAGTAAACTAAAAGATTTATTGCTATCCCGTAATTATACTGGATGTTTTGTAGATTTTGGGATGCTTGGATATCAAGCAGAATGTGCGACCAGCCATTGTGCAACTGTGACTGCAGGTGAGCAGGGGTGCATTCTGAAATAAAGAGAAACACACAGAAGGAGACCACTAAATAAGTTTCTTAAAAAGATTACAAAGAACAGCAAAGCTTTCTTGGCGAGCTAATAAAGTTTTAAAATCATCGAAATGCATTTTAATACTTCTGAACTGGTTAAAAAGAGGGGCAGAGGATACTGAAGCGTACGCTTAAACCGGAAGACGGTCTTCTTTCCAGAAAACCAAACGGGAAGCCATTTTAAGGAAATGGTGCACGAAGCAAGAGCCAAGACCGTAAAATACAGACCTCTATTTTGACTCGGGCGTGCTGTTTACTACGGTATTTGTCAAGCTGAGGACACCATCATATATAAAGGCGTGTTAGATAAAGTGTTATCTAAAGGGAGATTATTTAACAACATGCGCGCGTGTCGTCATTCATTCATGCGACACAACATCAATCACGAGCGCCGTCTAAGTGACTGCACGCGCCCGTGTTTCAGAAAAAGATTAAACTTTTAAGACGCGAACAAATCTTTGACTTTTTGTCTTCATATCGACCATACTCGCAGTCGATTTTTTTTCTTTCAATTATGTTTGACGTATTATCTTCGTAAAGACCAACGTAACCGGAAGTGACATAGTACGGGCTTTCCCAGACATATGCCGTACAATCGAGCGGCTCGTCAGCGTCTCGAACTAATTTTAATCGGTCAAGTACGTATTAGACAGATGGTCGATACTGTTAATGATGGCTTAGACAAGGCGCAGTTTTTACTGGCAGTCAGTATGGGCCCAGCTGAAAATTATCGCACAGTTCAATGAAAGCATTAATTATGCGATAAGCAAAATATTCTCTCAAAATGAACCCATTCTTCCCGGTACAGTTCACTCGTTGGTGACAGCGTTATATGCGTGACATATAGCGTGACATTCAGGGTGTAGTTAGCTTTACGCTAACAGACTTCTGCCTGAAGCTTCATTCGTGTTCATTTAACAAACTAAAACGTACTTGTGGTTCTCATAATATATTAAAAGCATAAACTTACCACACGTTGCAGCGGTCAGACCAGAAGAAGATCGTGCCTTTTAGCCAGTAAGCTAATTAGCGCGCGCGCCCTCACAAGCCGTTAATGATAGCGCGCGCGGGACGATAAAAAAAAAATTAAACTTATTATGAAATATTCCTTTCAAAGCTTCCCTGAAGTTGCAAATAATGTGACTGCGTCAAAAACAGCCTTTACGATAATCTGTTTAAAGCTACAACGCCAGCAAAGTTCTAGAAACGTCTCCGTTTGAATGAAGGATCCTCCACCTCATGTATGGAACTTGCTCGTGCCGGTTTAGACTTCTTCTTCTTCTTCATTTCGTTAATGGCGGATCGCAAACAACTGTAAGGTGCATTCCGCCACCTACTGTACATGAGTGTGTAACAACAGTTCTCTACATCTATCAAATTCTATTAATTAGTCTTGTATTTTTAAGATAGAAAATTAGCGCTTTCCTTATTTTATATATATCTGTTATGTTTCCCTCAGTTCCTAACAGTCCTTTAAGACTCCAGTCTTGACCTGTCTTTTCAACCATTCTTTTCAGTATCTCTCTTTCAGATTCATATGTTTTACAGTGCATCAATACGTGTTCTACAGTTTCTTTCTCTCCACATTTTTCACATTTATCAGTATTTTTCTTCCCTATTCTAAATAAAACATCATTTAAGTATGTATGACTTACTCTTAATCTGGTCATTATGATTTCTTCCCTTCTGTTTTTCATATTAATATTCTTAATTGCTATTGACTTTTGGATTTGATATAGACTTCTTCCTTTCTTATCTTCAGTCCACCTTTTTTGCCATTGTTCTTTTTCTTTATCCTTTATCAGTGATTTTCCTTCTCCTTTCCCTATAGGAATTGTAATTGTTATTGTCTTTTCTAAAGCCCTTTTTGCTAATGTATCTGCCTTCTCATTTCCTTTTACCCCTTCATGAGCTGGTACCCAGCAGAACCAGACATCAATGCCACCTCTGTACAATCTAAATAAACTGTGTTTAATTTCTAATATTAAGTCTTTCCTATTGTTTCCTTTCCCCTTGATACTTTCCAAAACTGCTTTCGAGTCTGTGCATAGTACAACCCTTTCTGGTCTAACCTCTTCCACCCACATTAAACTCAATGTAATTGCCATCATTTCAGCTGTGAAAACGGAAAGGTGGTCCGATATTCTTTTAGATATGTGAATTTTAAACTCAGGTACATATATCCCTATTCCCACACATCCTTTAAGATTTTTTGATCCATCGGTATAGATTTTGAGATAGTTATAATATGATTCTCTTAAATAATCATCAGTTTTTACCCCTACTTCATTCAAATTCCAATTATTTTTCTTTTCAAGTATTCCTATATCTATATTTATCTTAGGAAAGAGCCAAGGAGGAATAACAGAAATTGGGTTGGTTTTACCTATTTTATTATCCTCTACTCCATATAGTTTGATCCAGTCACTGATCATCCAACCAAAACCATTCCTCTGGAATTTTGTGTATTCCCAACAGTTCTGAAATATAATTGAAGTGACATTCTCTTCTTCGTCACCTTTAATCTTCATCCAATATGTTAATGCTAATTTTATTCTTCTCATGTCAAGCGGTGTTTCTCCGGTTTCTATTAATAGAGCATTGATTGGTGTTGTTTTCACTGCTCCTGTACATATACGTAGTGCTCTACTCTGTAGTCTATCTATTTTTTTTAGTGTCGTTTTAGCTGCTGCTCCATATATGAAACTTCCATAATCGATTATTGGCCTCATAAGTGCCCTATATATGTGTAGTAGCGACTGTCTATCTGCACCCCAGTTATGTCCGGCCACAGCTTTTAATAGATTTATGGTTTTTTTACATTTGGTTTCTATGTTATCTACATGTGTTTTCCAAGTATAAGCACTATCTATCCATAAACCTAGGTATTTAAATTCTTTGACCCTGTCTAGCGGTTGTCCATATAAAGTTATTGGTCCTATATCCACATTTTTCTTATTTGTGATTATCATAAAACATGACTTGCTAGCCGAAAATTTAAAACCCCATTCATATGACCATGTTTCCACTTTTCCAATAGCTTTTTTAATATGTCCCACTACATGTTTTATATTCCTTCCCCTCATCCAAATTGCCCCATCATCTGCATACAATGCCGATTTGATACATGTATCTGTTTCCAAAAATATGTCATTAATCATTATATTAAATAATATTGGACTTATTGTACATCCTTGCGGAATACCATTCTTTACATTAAATTCCTTTGAGTATTCATTCCCAATCTTAACTTTTATTTTCCTATCCGTCAGAAAATTTGCTATCCAATTATATAGTTTTCCACCAATCCCCATCTGCCTGATTTTTATAAGTAGTCCTTCTTTCCACATCGAATCATATGCTTTTTCAATGTCAAAAAAAACTATGATCATTACCTCCTTCATTTTTAAAGTTTTTTCCATGTCATTACTGACCCTAGTCAATGCATCTGTTGTTGATCTTCCTGTTCTAAAACCACACTGATATCCATTCATTAGCTTTTTATGTTCAAGGAAATATCCTAATCTGTTTACTATAATTTTCTCCATCCATTTACTTAGATGAGAAGTCAAAGCTATCGGTCTATAGTTACTTGGATTGGTGCTGTCTTTCCCAGGTTTATTAAACGGGAGTATTATTGCCCTTTTCCAGTCATTTGGTATTATACCTTCAGTCCATATTTTATTAAATAATGTTAATATTAATTTCAATGTTAGTTCTGGCATTTGATGAAACATAACATAGCATAGTTGATCTTCTCCTGGAGCTGCGTCTCCTGTCCCTTTTAATACTGATTGAAGTTCTTCCATGGTTATGTTTGTGTCTAACGTTGAATTGTAGTTTTGACATTTTCCTATCATATTTTTGTAATTTTCAAGTTTTTGTATTTGTTTTTGTCTATGAATATCTGTAAGACTTACGCCACTATGTACTGCTGCAAATGTTTCCCCTAGTAAATTTGCTTTATCTTTATTTATAATTACTATTTCTTGTCCTCTGATTAAAGCTGGCACTTTGACATCTTTTCTTTTCCCATTCATTTTCCTGAACATTGTCCAAACATTCTGTAATTTAATTTCTGAACCTATTGATGAGCAATATTCTCTCCATGTTTCCTTTTTTTGCTTCTTTAATAATTTTACGAGTTATTGCTCTTTTTCTTTTATAATCAATAAGGTATTCGTTTGTTAAATTTTTCTGTAAGCTTTTAAAAGCTTTATTACGTTCTTTGACTGCTCTGCTACAGTCATCATTCCACCACGGGACTATTTTTTTCTTACTTTTCACTATTATTTTTGGAATACTAGCATTGGCAGCATTTAAAATGTGTTCCGTTATCTGTTTTGTACATTCTTCTACATTATCTGTTAATGTTACCAAATGACTTGTTTCCTCACAATCTGTTTTAAACTTTTGCCAGTTAGCTTTTTTGAAGCACCATTTTTTTAATATGCAATCCTCTGTCCTATTTATACTATCATCGATTATTGTACTGACTGGAAAGTGGTCACTCCCTAGTGTGGAATCCCCAGTAATATCCCATTCACTTGAATTAACAAGGCTAGCAGTTATTAGCGTAATATCTAAGCATGAGACTGTAAGGTCATGTATATTTATTCTTGTACCTTTTCCATTATTAATACAAACTAATGACTTTTCATCCATCATTTCTTCAATTATATAACCATTATGATCTGTTTTTTTACTACCCCAAAGAGTATTGTGTGCGTTAAAATCACCACACCACACTTCTCTGTTATGTGATTTACCTGCTATTTCCTCGAATATTTCACTATTAAGACTTTTACACGGATTATAAAAGTTTATAATTTTAATATTGTCATACTTCTTTAAATTATATATTTCTATATTAACACATTCTATTTCTTTATGCATGTGGTTTTTTCTATAAGCTATTCCATTTTTAATGAAAGTGGCACATCCACCTCTACCATCCCTTCTGTCTTGTCTTTCTACACTATATCCATGAATTTGAAAATCTAAATTTGGTTTTAACCATGTTTCTTGTATGCAAATTATATCTGGAGTAATTTCCAACGTAGATACAAACCGTTTGAATTCTTGTCCATTTGCTATTAGGCTTCTAGCATTCCATTGTAGGATATGTAGAACCATTATATTGATCTAATCCTAATCTTGGTTATTGTCTGTTGTTTCTGTAGTACTCAAGATGGCATGTATTTGATCTGCTTGGAGGTCTTTCATATCTAAGAATCTGCCTGCTGCTGTCACAATTGCTTTTATTTTATCACTTTTTTTCTTCATTTGTACCGTAACGTTGACAATGTGACACATAAATGCGACAAAGTTTTCCTTTTTGACCACCATTGAATTGTCATCAACTCTACATTTATGTATACATGGTTTTTGTATAATTGTTGCTGGTATCACCGTTTGTCTCTGTTCGTTCTGTTCTTGGCTTGTGTTCCAATTTGTGTCTTTATGACCTGTTCCTCCCAGCTGCAGTCCTTTGGAGTTGTCATTATTTACTCTTTTTAAAGCTTCAGCATATGATACTCTTTCTGTAATTTTGATTCTTTGAGCTTCTCTGGCTACCTTTTGAATTTGACATCCTCCATAAGCTGCGCTATGATCTCCTCCGCAGTTACAACATTTGATTTTGGCATCTTTATCACATTTACCGAATTCATGTGGGCCTCCACACCTTGCACACCTGAGTTTGCCTTTGCAGTTCTTTGCTATGTGTCCCATTCTTTGACAATTGAAACACCTGAGGGGTTTAGGGATGTATTCTCTGACTTTGTAGTTTAGGTACCCTAGCTGTATGTTTTCTGGCATAACATTTTCAAATTGCAGGATTACTGCCATCGTGTCTTTAAGTTCTCCATCTCTTTTACTTTTAATCCTGGTGGCATCTGTTATTTTTCCTCCTTTGATTTCTCTTTTTAATTCTTCCATTTTTATTTCTATCGGTACACCTGAAATTACTCCTCTCAGCCTTGCCAAGTAACCTGGAATATGTGTTGTGATTCTTTCCCCCATCAAGTTCTTCAATCTGATGATCTTTTGTTGTTGTATTTCACTAACAGCATATATCAACACTCTTCTATTATTCATGATTCTAGCTGTTTTAATTTTCCCTATTTCTTCTTCTATTGATTTGGTCAATTTGATCGGGTGAATATATCCTCCTTCACGCTGAAATTCTACTATGATTTTGAATTCTTCTTCTCTGGATAATACATTTTGTTCTCTTACATTTGCTCTATCATTTGGTTTGGTCTTTTTGGTAACTTCTGCCCTAGTTTCACTTTCTGCCGACCGACTTCTTTCCCTTTCTTGCCTCATCCTAAGCGTCCTTTTTGTTCTCGCTGATCTTGACATTATCCATTCCATTTCGTTGCCACTATGCCCCTCTGATGCAGAAGCCATGTTGTTACATTCAATGTACAGCTTATGCGATCCACCTACCGCCTTCTTTGTTCGTCACCTTGGCCAAAAACCAAAAACAAACGCAATACACACTTCTCTCTGAGAGCCACAACAACCGTTGCCTACTTCCGGGTCTGGCCCGTCTCCGCCGGTTTAGACAACAGAGGTTCTTTTTTTTATTGGATACGCCCTTCCTGAAGCCACGCCCCTTGTTCCTCCCAGCTGTCAGAGAGAAGGAGACACTCCTCTTCACGTGATCAGCGCATGTACCCGGCAGAGGATCCATTATTCACTGTACCTATCATTTCTGGATCGGATTTCTTGGTAATTCTAGTCTGTGCTGTGGAATAGTCGTGACAAAGCACATTTAAAAAATTTTTAAATTGTAAACACAGCAGGAGATTAATTAAATGATGTTTTATTGCTAAGAACATTTTTAGTTAAATTGTTTTACAAAAAGCAAACTAAAAAGGTACTAAAAGTATCCATTATTAAATTATTGCATTTTTTTAAGGAATGGATAAAGCCCACTACTTTTCATGCCAGAGCTTTAGAAGTCATCATATGTTGAGAAGTGACAGAGTTGTAGCTGTTGTCGTCAGACATTGAAAATAATATTTTCCAAAATCTTGTGATATTCACAAAGAGTATGTTGTAAATGGCTATTAGCGCCTACATCATATTTCTGCTCAGTATCTATGCATTTATAGCCATTTCTCTAATGTTGACTAGGTGTGGAAGCCATCTCAAATTGACTCCACAAGTTAATTAGTTGTAGATGTACATCAAATGACTTTCTGAAAGATTTATTAAATATCAGGTACTCATTAGATATTTTTGCAAAAAGACAAGGGTTAACTTTAACAAAAAAAAGATAAACTTTTAAGCAGGATTTTGCGCAATGTGGAGCTTTATGTGTTGTGATTGTGAATGATTCACAGCTACGACCAAAACAAAAAATTTCCACAACTACTAATTGAATATTAGCCATTTTTGTGTTCTAAAGGTGTGTGGCAGCCATCCTGAACTCTGAATTATAGCCATTTTTGTGTTTCCAAAAGTTAATAAGTTGGACATGCACATTCAGAAACTTCTGTTAGATAAACTAGATCTAATTTAATAATTTATTCAATGTAAATTAGTTGATTACTAACTTGAAATCAAAGTAAAAAAAAAACTCTAGAGGTAACATTACATCATAGCTGTATTATAGTTGTGAAATAAATTAAAAAAAACATGTAACGCGAGACAATTCTATCAATAAAACACTCTTGTAATCGTTACTTGTGAAATATATTTTCTTAGTCTTATCTTTCTGAACTTTTGTCTTCCTGTTTCTCTTCCAGGAAATGTAACGCCTGCAGACAATCCTGAGAATTCAGGGCAGAACAAGTTACATCTGGGCTTTCTGCAAATTCACATAAAACTTGAAAATCAGAATCAGTGCAATTAAGAAATACTTGTGCACCTATGTGTTTCTGTGAAGCAGAGTAAAGTCATTTTCTCTGAATCGGCCACACCTTGTTGTTATTGTCACATACTGCAAACTACGATGTGTTGTCATCTAGTAAAATGTATGCAAATACAAGTCTTATGTTAAAGACCCCCTGCTTTCCACCAAAACAAAGAAGGAAAACAGTTAGTGCTTCGGATGTTATCTGCATGGCAGAAGACTTGTCACTCATAAAAGAGCATTCTAGCAGAAGCGATAACATTCACTAAAGCAGAGGTTTCCTTTGTTCACAGTCCTTTTATTGCCTTCAGCACGGATGAGTCAACTGAGAATGGTGCTCAATAAGCAAAACAACACTTGATAGGTTAAAAAAAAAGTTTGAAAAATACGTGTTTTTGTGTCAGTGAGGAAATTGGGCAAGTTTTACTACAAGCACGTATTCTTTGTTGTTGTTTTTTACTTCTCTGACGTCTTTAGGATCACAGAATATGTCCCCAGGGACAGGAGGTAATTGTATTTACGCCTGTTGCCTCAGCATTTTCACTGATGGGAGCGGCACTTGCACGTGAAGTATCCCACTTTGAAAAGTATTCAGTGGCTTTTTCCAAGAGTCTGTCCGCATCAGTTTCCTCTAAAGATGTAATTTATGTGCTCTGAAAGTCCCAATTTACCAAAACTGCCATTTTAAACGTTCTATTTTTTGCTTACTTACATATTACGGTAACTAGAGGCAGTTGTTTTTATTGTTTAAAAAACACTACCTATATCAGACAAAAACCAACCTACTTGCTCTGTTTTAATCTGAAATAAAAGCCCTGAATTTATTTGCCTGGGACTACTTTAAAATATGGTAAAAGAGCTAGTTGTTTACTATAAAGTGCAGTTTGTTAACAGTAAAAATGTGAAGTAAGAGAATTATGTTTCACACAGAGGTAAAGTGCACCCATGGTGTTATTACCCATTGTCGACAGGCAATGGTAGATAAATATGAATCCCCATGTCTGTGTATATTTCACTACCCGCTGGACAAAAGTTAATAAAACTTACAGAAAGTATTCAATGAATGAACATCTACAACAGATTAACTTTTGGAGTCACCCCAATTCAAGAAGGCTGCCATGGTCAACTGACCCTCAATAAAAAATCGACTGTAATACCGACCTAAAGTTTGGTGTGGCAGTAGCTGAGATTAACCATCCATCCATTATCTTTTACCCGCTTCTTCCATTTTTGGGTCACGGGGGTCGCCGGTGCCCATGTCCAGCACTCGCTGTGCGAGAGGCAGGGTGTACAACCCAATTCCAGATGGAGGCCACAACTAATTCATATTAGAAAACAGTAGCTACAATTCAGTTAATATTACAGATATTGCACTAAAATTTAACTGACGGACATTCACATTACTTTAAACTTACATCTTGCAATATCGCATGAGTTCGTGCATAATCTCACTTTTAAGGTTCGGCTAAAACATCTGCAACTCTGTCACTTCTCAACATAAAAAAATAAGTCTATAATCTGGCATGAAGGGCATTTGGCAATATGCATCCCTTCATAGAATACTAAGCTTTTAACTGAATTGAAATTGAAAATTTACCTTCAAGTTGTTTAATTTTATCAAACCTCTTTGTCTAATGAGGCTGAAATCCCTCTGCTTTTCTGATGTGGCAGTTGTCCTAAATTAAACCCTACATTGTGTTAAGTGTTTCTGCCAGTAACAACCACATCGTCAAAGTAATGACCCTATTGTTAGATACACTCTGTATAAAGATTATTGAATTATCTATGTCAAACCTTGTTTAGATTTTTTTTTACATGTACCACTGCACAAAAGAACCACACAAATGAGCATGAATAATTAGAAGAGCTGGACTAAGTGAAATAAAGGAACTTAGATCACAATGACTTTCATTGAGTGCAATAAATCAAATTCGTGTTTACCACGAAAAAGATCAATGAATTTCCTGGAACAGCCTTTTTATTTATCAGCTTAATTTTTAACTTTGAAGAAAAGATCAACGAAGATTTTTTTTTTAGTCTGAATGCTGCGAGTTAACCATCAGCAGATAAACAGCGCCATCTGCCGTACAATCTTATAATCATACATTTCTTATGTAAATGCGAAAATCTTGAGATTTCATACACCCCCTTCAAGAGACAATATAATTTAACCACATTGTGACACTGCACGCACAAACTCATTACGTACAATAAATATTCTGTTACTTTTACAACCGCTCCCAAAACCTTTTCGTCTGGTATAGAATAAGGCCATGCCCCTACTGAAATTTACCCAGCTTTTAATTATTTCTTTGCCACACATGACATCTTCTTTTGCCAGCAAACACCGGGGAAAACGTGTGCGCCTTCTGACCAAACATTTAGGAGGTGTTATTGTTCATTTTTCCCACTTGGTTGTCTTCGACTGTCTTGTTTTCTGCTCATGTCTATACACTCATACAGCTTAATTAGTCTTAATTGGTCAAGTGCACTACATGCTCACGTCTAGGTGCAGTACTCAACTCCACCAACAGATGACGCTGACACCACAATTTAAATGATCTTTTCTGCAACAGCTTCATTTACCTTGGAACTTTTTGAAGAGTTAATTATTCAAGAGCGTATGTTTTTTTGCCTTGAGTTACAGTTTACGTAGTTACTTTGTCTAAGTAACTACTTGGAAAAATAGCTAAGTCTTGCTACTTTTTCTAAATGTAGCATTAGCATGCTAAGGCCAATGCTAAAACCTGCGTTAGCATTGTTAGCACAGACATATGGCCTCCTTTTCTTTCAAACGGCACAGCAGGATGACGAGTCTGACTTCCTCCTCTTGGTTTCTCGTTTCTGCTTTCGCAAACACAGACTCGGATTTACGTTTCCGTTTTTGAACAAGGGCCATTTAACAGATTAGATTAAACAATATCTGATCCCAGTTCAGCGCTTAACTTGTCTGGTTAGTTTGTCTGGTCACACGCACTTGCTTTTGGCCGAGGCGGCCCTAACGGTTTGACAGACAACCCTGTGAGCCAATCATATTTGTCCTGAATTGCGAGTATCCATACACGTGCGAGTACCAGATCTGTAAGGCGGGCGTTGTGAGTAGGCGTCAAAGACACTTAGGAAGAGGAGGTCAAGCAAGTTGCATGAGTGTGAAAAACGTGAGGCTGATTTAAGGGAAGATAATCCGATAAATACAGGTTCAGTAGGATTGTATAGTTTATGCTGCGTTTATTAGGATCCAGTGCTGAAATTAGAAGGCTGTGTTGGCGTGCATGTTTGTTTATCATTTGGTAAGAGCCCTTGCTAGCTAATGCTAATCTGTTAGCGTGTTCTCACGGGTTGACAGCCAGTTACCACGAGTAAAATTATGTGTTTTGCTTACTAAAAGTCAGCATTATTAAACGTACAGAAGTAATGTGTGGTCTTTTTTCGTAAGATTTTAGCTTGGGCTTTAACGTGTGCCTGGTAACCGTATTGCTGGGCAGCTGTACTTGTCTTTTGGACCTTGTGTCACGGTCACGGTCGTCATGTTTCACTCAGTGCCCCGTCGTCCTGTCTGTGACATCGGACTGAACACAGCGAGGCTTCAGAACAGCAGGTTATTTGGAAATGCAGGAGAGGAGAGCAGGAGTCCATGGCTGGGCAGGAAGGTGGTTCTGTTGCTGTCCTGGCTCCATAGGACAGGTGTGGGTGCCAATAAAAAGGCTGATGGTCAGAAAAGGAAAGGACTGCTGTCCATATTTGCGGATCACTGCGGCTTTCTGACAGGTCAGAGGCTCCGGCGTGCTTGCCAGGCAAGTGAGCTTTACTCCAACCTGTACTCCGAGAGAACCAAGCGGACCCTGGCTGGCCACATATGGCGCAGATTTCAGAACAAGCATGCCCCTTCTGCTGGGAAACTTATGGCGGCTCTGGCCGTCTTCATGTGGGAGAACGAGAAGATCCAAGATGAGGAGATACGCAGGTAAGATGTCTTAAAAACGCATTTACCTGTGCAGACGTTTAGGGTGACAAACTGCAGCAATATTGATCACATGTGCAGAGGATGTAAGGGTTATTGTGGTGCATATTATGTGAAACGTTAAAGACTGAGAATGACCATGTGTAAATGCTTATTTAACCAGGAAGTTCCTTGATAATAACATATCTTTGTAAAAGTAACCCTGTCAAGACACCATTATATATGCACAAGCTAATAATTACAATTATTAAAACAGAAATAAACATAGAACAAGCACAAAGTCCAACTTAAGAGTAGCATTTGCACTCCTCAGTAGAGTATAGAAGTAGCACTTTAAACTCTCCCAAAGAGAAAGGCATTAGGCTTTAGTGTGCACTTAAGATTATTCCATGACCAAGGTACAAAACAAGTGAATGCTGTTCATGAAAAAAAATCCTGGGAAGTGTAAAAAAGGGTCTAACTGAAGAACCACAACTCACTGACAGTATTAAAAAAAGTACACAAATAAGAAAGGAGTTTACCCAGCATAGCTTTGTGCATATACCGATGTCTGCCTATGCTTATAAAAGGTTAAGTCACCATATTATACAGAATAAAATGTGCACCATGCAATGGATTTGTTGTCAAACTTAAAAAAAAACTATGAAATACCTAAACTATGAGAAAGTAGTTTGCGTATAAATCTTACTAGTATTATACCGTAGTCAGGATGTTAACAAATGTAGCCTGAATAAGTTTTTTCTTTGCGTATAAATTAAAACAGGCTCTGTTCTGATAATAAAATCTCAAATTTAACCTTCAGCTTTTCTTTTACTACAAGCTCAGTGTGTGATAATAAAATAATCATGTAGCCAAATACCCAAATTTAGTTTTATTTGCATTATGCACCGACTATAGTCCATACAGTGTTGCAGGAGTCAAGACATTTTAAAAGTAAAGAAGAAAATAATTTGACCAATTAAAAATTGCAGGATGCCGCGTTCTGAACAAGCTATAGATGATGCAGATATATATATATTTTCTAAACTATTTATCTGTGGATTTATTACGCCTTTCTGTGGTACCATCATCAGAACACTGAACAATGTAGTCACTTTTATGAAATAACTGCAGGGATTATATATATTTTTAAAGCACCATAGCCATTCTTTTTGTGGTGTTTTACCAAAACAGTAGGATTTGTGCATTACAGCACATTTTATTGATTTGTCAGTAATCAGTGCACTAAACCTGTTCTGACACTGGAATCTCTCTTGAAGGTGTGGATTTGAACTACAGGCCTTGGAGACCGTGAAATGTCTGTACGTATCATCAGGATCTGTGGCTGCAAATCAGGAAAGTGACTGGGAAATTGTGATGGAGAAGAAGGATTTCAGAGTATGGAAGCGACCCATTCCCAACAGTCACCTTTATGAATACAGAGGTAAGCTATTTGTAATCTCATATGTATGATTTTCTCTATTAAAGCGTTCTCTGCATTCTGCATTTCTGAATAGTCACTCTTTGTTGTGTTTTTTTTTTTGGTTGGTTTTCCTTGCAGTATTAGGTTCCTACACCGATGTCACACCAAGACAGTTCTTCAACGTGCAGGTAAAGACTTTATAAATCTCACTCCATGCATCTATGTTGTCTGTCAAGTTCAGGAAGAAGCTAGAGAGGAAATCTAGTGAAACGACTGTTTGGCAGCTGCTAAACTCAGAACTCACTAGGAGGAAGGAAGCAGCTGTGGTTTTTTGTGCAGTATTTATTTTAGCCCCTGAACCTTTACAACAATGGCAAATGATTGCATATTGTATAACAGGTGGAACTGCTTGATTTAGTTTTGACATTCATTTTTTTTATTGTTGCGTTTCTTGAAAATGTGATGGCATTTTCTATTAGCAAGGTGCTCTCATGTATGTGTAGTTCAGAAGACTTGTGATTCTTTTGCTAACTTTTACCTTTTCTCCCAGTTGGACACCGAGTACAGGAAGAAGTGGGATTCTTTGGTTATCAAGCTTGACGTAGTTGACAGAGATGTCAGCACAGGCTCTGAAATTGTCCACTGGGCAACGCACTTTCCTGTAAGCTGCCAATGTTTTCTGTATCTGAAACAAATTAAACATTTGATTGGTTTTCTATTTACAAATCAGTAAGAACTTATATGGTCAAGTTGTTTTTTTTAATTATATTTTTAGACTATTCTATACTATGTATTTATTTTTTGTATTTTGTTAAATCTCCTCACAGTATCCCATGTATTCACGGGACTATGTTTATGTGCGTCGCTACGATGTTGACGTTGATAGTAACCTGATGATCTTAGTATCCAGGTAGGAATTTAAATATTTGTTTGAGTCAAATGGCTTGTCTTTTTGAACCATTCAAACATATATACTGTATTTATTCAAACTAAATGCCGTCTTAAATCTTTTATCATCTTGTGATTATTTTCTGTTCAGAGCTGTTCAGCATCCCAGAGTACCAGAGACTCAAGAATTTGTGAGAGTCCACTCGTACCAGTCTAAGATGGTCATCCGTCCTCACAAGTCCTTTGATGAGGTTTGTCACAAGTAGAAAACTTGAAAAAGTATTCAGCTGTATGTACCGTAATGATCTTTGCTGTACAAATTCTGAGATTGGTTTTATGTTTCCTCTGCAGAATGGTTTTGATTACCTGCTGACCTACAGGGACGATCCACAGACGGTTTTTCCTCGTTACTGCGTGAGCTGGATGGTGTCAAGTGGTGAGCTCTCTTCTCCTTCTGAAATCTGACAAGATAGAAGTTTATTGATCCCGCAGGAAATTCTTGAATGCTGCCTTCACTGCCTTTTATTTTACCTTATAATTAGTCAATTAAATTTGTGTATTCTAAAATGTACAGAAGTTCACTGTACTTTAAAAAAAAAAAATCAATTTATGTATTTATTTCTTCAGTAATTACATTTTACTTGAATATAAAAGTTTCTCCTTCACCACCCTGTTAGGGATGCCTGATTTTTTGGAGAAGCTGCACGTCGCTGCCTTAAGGGCCAAAAACTTGGAGGTAGGAATTCACGACTACACGGGCGTCATCAAGTCCAAGGACACCAACCGGCAGCCGAGCCAGGAGCGCATCAGTGGAGACAACACACACACCGGGAGTCCTAGGCAGATCTACGCCTGAGATGGACTTCCTTATAGACCAGGAGTTCACAATGGCATGTTTTCACTTGCATTAGAGTCCATCTAAAGCCCTCCAACCCAACTTTTAGTGAACAACTGCAAATAAAGTTTACAACCTACTCAACAGATGTGACCATCCGTAGCTGTCGACGTTCTGGTTGCAAACGAGACGTTTGAGAAGTGGACTGCATTGTTGACATCGCAGTCTTTGTGGCGAAAATATTGCAAAGTAAAATATCCGGACTGACGCTTTTTATTAGCCATTCAAAATTGTGACTCCTTTTTTTTTTTTTCCTTTCAGCTTTTAACATGTCCTGCAACCGTTTGTAAGATTGAGCCATACTTCTTGTTTATAGAGATGCTTTTGCCAAAGCGCAGTTTTTTTTTAATCATTGTAAAACTGTTGTCATCGACAAAGCATCTTTAAAACTGTTCAAACCACCAGCACCAAAATGACTGTCGTGGTGATTTAAGCGTGCTTTTAACAAGGCATCTACATAATTTGAGGATTTTTGACACACGAGGGTAATTGTGACTGAACTCTGGTGGACTGTTATCAGTTATCACTCGAAGGTGCTGGCCCACTGCCAGCTGAACTGTAACCAGTGGAAACAACCAGTTCCTTCATGGCATGGATATACAGCATGTTTCCTGTTTGCAACATGAGAGTTTTATATAACTTGATAAAGTGAATTAAAGAAAATAACACCATTGCTGTAGAAAAAAAGTTGACAAATGTAGGGCTTTTTTTCTTTTATGTTTTCAGGCGGTTAAGGATTTGTGGCCATCGACGTATCACTGTTTCTGTCCAGGTGTTTAAACTGCCAGCCTTCTGAAGAAAACCTCAGCACTGGAGCCGTAGTGTCTTATTAGAACCGTACAAACCCTCAAATACAAATGGTACTAAGTGCTTCTAGCAAGGAAAAAACACGTATGGCCCCGTTTTGATTTCATTTGAGTTAATTTGTCTCATTTCAGGTCAGATTATGGTCTTTTTTTTGTGTTTTCATCAGATTTTTTTTGTACTCTTGGATTTATTTGTGGGTTTTGTGTATTTTACTGCAGACTCATAGCTAAAGTATTTTTATTTAACAGCCTACAAATCAGTCATTTGATCTTTTTTCTTATATACGTCCTACTGAAACTACAGTATTCACCCCTGTCAACATCGATGCAATTCTAAGAACTAATATGCAGGGGTTTAATGAATGTACAAAAATAACCATCTGCTGTGGATAATACTGTTTACAGCTTGTCAAAGTGGCAAAAATGCCCCAATTAACTGTAAAAATGTCGTCCTATATTAAATTTTAATGTTTTTTTTTTTTGTGGCACATCTAAATGAATCATCTGTTTCATGATGGTGAAGGAAGTTCCAACTTTATGACAATGTTAAATTTTTTCAGATGCATGTCCTATTCAATAAACTTACAGTGTAGGAAGTGATATTTGATATGCAAATTATTATTTTTTTTTATGTTAATCTCATGGTCAAAACTGAAACTCACAAATTAAAACATGTATGCTGTAATTTAAAGCATTATTTCAAGATTTTTGGTCTTGCAGACGGTAAATCGGTTGTGATTAATTTTAGCGCGATATGAAATGTAGTTGCCTGGAATTGCAAAAATCGTTTCATGATGGAAAAAGCAGATCAAATAAACATATTTGTGTGCATCTTATCGTGTTCAGCTGGTGACTGGAGAGCAGCTTCGCCCTCAGCCTGCCAGACAAATGGTGTCTGCTAAAGTAACGTATAGTCCAGTTTAATGGGATAATCTGTAAACCTTGTTCCTGTCTGGGCCAACGGTTAGTGACAGACTGGCAGAAAGGCATTACGGTTTAATTAAAGCACTGTTGATTTTATGGTAGAACAAAATAATCTACAGGTCCTTCTCTAAAAAATTAGCATATTGTGATAAAGGTCATTATTTTCCATAATGTAATGATAAAAATGAAACTTTCATATATTTCAGATTCATTGCACACCAACTGAAATATTTCAGGTCTTTAATTGTTTTAATACTGATGATTATGGCATACAGCTCATGAAAACCCAAAATACCTGTCCCAAAAAATTAGCATATCATGAAAAGGTTCTCTAAACAAGCTATTAACCTAACCATCTGAATCAACAACGTAACTAAACACCTGCAAAAGATTCCTGAGGCTTTTAAAAACTCCCAGCATTGTTCATTACTCAAAACCACAATCATGGGTAAGACTGCCGACCTGACTGCTGTCCAGAAGGCCATCATTGACACCCTCAAGCAAGAGGGTAAGACACAGAAATAAATTGCTGAACGAACAGGCTGTTCCCAGAGTGCTGTATCAAGGCACCTCAGTGGGAAGTCTGTGGGAAGGGAAAAGTGTGGCAGAAAACGCTGCACAACGAGAAGAGGTGACCGGACCCTGAGGAGGATTGTGGAGAAGGGCCGATTCCAGACCTTGGGGGACCTGCGGAAGCAGTGGACTGAGTCTGGAGTAGAAACATCCAGAGCCACCGTGCACAGGCGTGTGCAGGAAATGGGCTACAGGTGCCACATTCCCCAGGTCAAGCCACTTTTGCATCTCTTCCCATTTTTTGTTTTGAAGAGAAAGTTGAGAGACGCAAGAGACAAGACACTCTGGATGAGCTTAAGGCCGCTATCGAAGCATCCTGGGCCTCCATAACACCTCAGCAGTGCCACAGGCTGATTGCCTCCATGCCACGCCGCACTGAAGCAGTCATTCATGCACAAGGATTCCCAACCAAGTATTGAGTGCATAACTGAACATGATTATTTGAAGGTTGGCGTTTTTTGTATTAAAAACACTTGTCTTTCATTGGTGGGATGAAATATGCTAATTTTTTGGGAAATTTTGGGTTTTCATGAGCTGTATGCCATAATCATCAGTATTAAAACAATTAAAGACCTGAAATATTTCAGTTGGTGTGCAATGAATCTGAAATATATGAAAGTTTCATTTTTATCATTACATTATGGAAAATAATGACCTTTATCACAATATGCTCATTTTTTGAGAAGGACCTGTACAACTAAGTAACCTACATGACTAAACTACTTTGGGAATTTTATGTTACTTGTATTTAAAAGAAAACATTTATCTGATAAAAACTGCTAAAATGTTACGTTATTCAGAACTAAAAACACAATTCTGTTATTGGTTATACTCCAATATTTTAGGAGTTTATCCATCTTTTATTCTTCACATTGTTTCCATAAAACCAATTTTTCTGGCCAATGAAATGATTTTTTTAATTCATGGAATGATTAAAAAAATGGTTGAATAAGGAAAAAAAAGGTAAAATGCTACACCCGTTTATATAGAACAATCTAAATGTCTTTGAAGCAGCTGCCTGTTAAACTGCATGAATATGTTTTGAACCGGGAGATGTTCTTTTAAAGTTTTATATTTGTCATTTTGTGATGATTTAATGTCAAGCACCAGGAGCAGACAGCACTTCTGATATTCTTTATTTTCTGTAAATACAAAGTAAATGTTCACGTTGCATCTACATAAATTATAAATCCTATTTTTCTTTTCACTCAGAAAAGACCCTTCAGTATTCTGCTGTATGCGGGCTGTGTTGTCTGGACCACCAAACCAGCGGTAGTTTTATTGATTTCTGTTTTTTACTGGATATACTTTGACATGATGAAGTAAGCAGAAAGAAAAATTAATACGGCAACGATTTAATTCCCTAATGGATAAAGTAACAGAGTGCTCTGCTGTCTTAGCCTTTGAGCTGTGACTTTGTAAGACATTTATTTGTGTCCCTGTTGTTTTCAGTAAGATCTGTCTGGCAGTTCAATTGACTTTATGTACCGTACTTTAAATATTAATTTAACAAAAAATACTCAAAACTCTTAGAACAATCCGTCTTATAAGACTCATTATTCTTAGAATAATAAACCTTTTTTTTTTACAAATATCAAATTCATAGTATGAAAAGGATGAGGTCTTTAAAAATAAAATAAATCTTTTTGATTCTTGTCTTTTATTTATATAAAAAAAAAAGGACTTTGGATTTTCCTGTGATGGACTTGCTACCTGTCCTGAGTGTACCCCGCCTCTCACACAGTGATGGCTGGACATGGGCACCAGCAAACCCCATGACCCGAAAAGGAAGAAGCAGGTAATGGATGGATGGACTTTGGATTTTATTTTATTTTTTAATCACAAATGTGTGATTAAATTTTACCTTGTAAGAGCTCACTCTCAGGACAGCATTACAAAGGCAGGGCCTGGTAGTTTCCTTGATCTCAGCAATCATTATTGTGTGTGTTCATCAATATTTAAACCACCACCATATGAAGTTTGGGTAAAAAAAAAAAAAAGATTAAATTAGGAGACGCAAGTAAAGGAGGAGTCTGGTTTTCACAAATGAAATTTATTGGTTCAGTCTATTAGTTACGATCAGAAGACACTGACTGAATGTTAAATAGGTAGCTGCAGTCTGTATGGACACCGTTGTGATGTAATTTTATTATAATTTCAAGAATAGAAACCGCTTCTGAATGTTCTGTGTTTTAGGTTGCAGACTTCATGCAGCTCTGTCTCGCCGTTCGAGTGCTACATCTGTGATGTATTTGCAGTCCTGACAGGCGACACATTGTTTTAATCTATGACCTCTACCAGACAGAGTTAAAAACCACAGAGCACTTACTGCAATTGATGTTTTCTATAAATTAAACGTACTTTGGCCGCCCAGTTAGTAGATAATGACAGTTATGAACCTCATGACACCTATTCGGTCTTTTAAAATGTTTGGTCTTTATTGGCCATAAAAAAAAGTAGCACACACAGGAGGTTTAGATAGTATTTATTAGTAATCGTTTTCCATTTTCACATTCATCATGATGTAAAATATACTTTACACTTAACGTATTATCTTATATCCATACACTACTTGTTGGTGATGGTTTCTTCGTTGCGCTCTGTTGAAGCGTTGAGATCCTCCAAACAGAAATGCAAAAATGGAAGTTGGTTACCTGTAGATTGTGCTCACAAGCCTCCAAAGTGCTTGGCACAACCATGGACAGATGATGCACTGCATGGTTAGATCAAGCACAATGGAGTCCTGGGCAAAGACTGGGGGGAAAAAAACACCAACCTCAAAACATATCACATTGGTCTTAATTGGTTCATAGACGCCAAAGGACATTAAATAATGTTGGCCCATTTTATTTCTGTAAGTTGGCAAGAAAAAAATAGTAAATCTATATATATATTTATCTCCATAAGCATAATCAACTACCAAAGAAATCCTGCAAAAAACGCAAAATTTTCCATTTTTCGTAGTAAGTTGTTTTACAAGCTGGTCCACTTCAGTTGTATTCGAAACGTAAAAATAAAATAAAAAAGAGCCAAAATGTTTGTCGGAAGGGACAAGTGACTCGTGGTTATGGTCTTAAAAAATAACCAGTGGTCACACAAAGATTAGAACAGCAGCGGTTGAGAACATCTGCAGAATAATTGGGGGGGAAAGGATTAGTCATAGGTCATGCTCACTGCGGAAAAAAAGGGTTACACCCTTCCTGCGCACAAACTGCGTCAAACCCCACCCTCTCGCCCGTCTCGTCGCAAACCTACGATACGCGACTGAAAGAAAGAAATATAAAAATTGTACCAATATTTTATAGCACAAACATTAAAACGAAACATTTAAGAAAATGTTTGCAGAAGGCCTTCATTATACCCATCGGTCCAGACGGCATACCAGCGATCAATGGAAACGGAATGTAGGCGATGTTAAGAATCATCGCATCTTGAAGAGTCCGGACCTTAAGATTTTGCTTGTAATTGACTCAAACCAAACCTTAGTGGCTCAATGACTTTTCAGTATGGTTGTCGTCCATCTGAGGACGTTAGCCTTCTCCTCAAGGTAAAGAGACAACCACTTTGGACATTTTTGTCCTAACCATGTTAACGGTCATTGAGTGCAATGTCAAGAGTCATGATACCATCAGACTAAAGGAGCTGTTTTCCCCAAACCGTCTCACAATCTTGTTATCTTCTCTTGAGTCTCTTTCAGCTCCCAAGGGACATCTTACTAAAACGAGAAAGCGTGGTGCGATAATCAACTTAGAGCTCAGACAACTGAAGCACTTTGTGTGATGAAATAACATAATGTATATCGATGTAAGCAAGAGAACCTCTACGTACCTAATGTCATGGAAATGGGAGTTCTTTATGTGCGAATGCTGGGTGGTGGCAATGAAACAGATGGCGGTTTTTCAGAGGATGTTTCGTGGAGATGGCTTTGATGGTAAGGTTTTAATGCACGGATGATTATGGCACATTGAAATGCTTTCTTACCTTGCTTTTTGAAGGTTTTTCCTTCTTCAAAAGGCTCACCTTGATGGGAGATTTTTCAAGAGCTGCCATCAAGTCACCTATGACTTATCAGTTTTGAATATAATTGTAAATCTGACCAAGGACAAACCAGATGTTAGAGGAAGAAAAATGACAACGCTGTTGAGTCGACAAGTCTCACAAACCAATTCGACAATCTGTTAAACTCTTTGAGTACGACTTAACTTACTCTTGATTTTACTGACATCTTCCTCAAGTTGTCTTTTTATCATTTGGTCTTTTCGAGAAACCCACCTTCCCATGCGCTCTTAAAGTTGAAGTACAGATGCAGCCGGTTGATGGGTGAAGGCTGGACGATCGGAGCGGAGTCTTGGTGGGAGTCTTCCAGCTTGCTCTACTGGAGAAAGACTGTCCCGACTGCGTCCTCGGCACCCTTCAAGTCCCCATCTCCTGCCCCTCCTTCAAGCTAGGAGGGGTTGGTGATGTTCTCTTGGGATAGGTGCTCTGGCGATGAAGACTTGGTCAGTCTGGGATTGGATAAGGATTGGGGAGTTTGGGGGGGCCTCTGGTTCCGCATTTCATAAATATTAATACAGAGTCCGCCCTCTCTAAATGGGTAGATTCTTTAATTTTGTTGGAGGGGGAAGTGCTTTATTCACTTAATGGCTTTTATTAGTGCCCAGTCCTCAACTCTTTCATTAGCTAAAGTGCTGCTATAATTTACAGGGTAAAGGGGGGGTGGGGTAGAGGTGATGTCTGGGGAGGGTCGAAGCTGCTGCTGCTGCTGGACAGCAGGCGTTACCCTCAACCGCTGCAGCTTTTACTGAAAAGCAGCTTAGATGGGAAAGAACTTTAGAGTAAAACATTGAACTCTTTTCCAAAACTTCACGGTTGTGAAAACTTTCTTGCGCCTTAACGTTTTAGTCACCGACTTCTGTTTTATTTCTGTTACGTAACAAATGTGCACACGATGTACCTGAACACAAAAAAAGGTTTTATATTTGAACACGCTTTTGAACAAATGGTGTTGAAAATGTTGCAGTCTATTACAGTGAATTAAAAAACAGAAAATAAAGATTTAGCTTTTGCTACCACACGTAGCAAACAATAAAAACCTAAAATAAAGATTCAGACAATGTCGTTGTGTATTGTATTAGATTGCTCCGGTGTTTCAAGGATGTCAATGTCCTCCCCTTTTTTTTTGAACAAAAGAACAAAAATACTACCAATATGCTCATACTTGAAAAACAATTTTCATATTGGTTGTACTTTGATTCTATTGTAGACAGATTCCAGAGAAAAACTAACCCAAATCTTTGTTCTTCAAATGTTCAATCTATCATGCTTTAGCGCGCACTACCATCTTATTTTTCCAACTGTATGTGCAGACGGCGCAAAATGGCTCCTCCACTGCATGATGCCTGCTGCATACTAACGTCTGCTAAAACTAGCCTGCAGAATCGCAAGAAGCACCAATAAAATAAAAAAAAAAGGTTTATTTGGAGTTTCACTTGTGAACAGCTTGCATCCAATGACCCTGGGCTGCATCTGAGCGAATGAACTGATTAACCTGAGTGGCCGTCCCCACCAGGGAGAGAGCGCGAACCACCAGGCTGAAGAACTGGCTTCATCATCAATGTCACATAAATCATTTAGCTGAACAGTGCTTTCAAATGCAACCTACCCCCCCACCCCGCTCTTTCACGCTAAATGCATGTGGTGACACGAGTACAAGATTAACTCAACAATGCCACATTTGTTCTCACTTTTGTCACTAATATACAAAATTATTAATTTACATGGAAAAAACAGCTGCTTACACTTTCAAGTTTTTATTTATATAGTAAATAAAACCAGAGCAAAAATAAGATTCACTTAAAAGTTTTTATTGTAGTTTTGTTGATAATGCAAGCCTTAACAAACATTCAATATGAACTATTAATGGTGTTAAGTACTGTCCCCCCATCTCTTAAATGTGATATCGGTGTCACTTTTCTTAAATAAAGCAAACTGGAAACCAGATGTGAAAGACACAGATGTATTTTTTGACATGTTTGGTGATTTACTGAGCAACTTTGTGACACAGGCACTTAAAACTTCTTTATTTTTTCACCAGCTGAATAACGTCTTCGTCCTCCATAACATGGTCTTTGCCCACCTTTTGAGGGTTGTGCTTCACAGACGAGCCCCACACGAGTGCACTGGAACAAAAGGAGTTCAAATATTAGTGAAACAATCCTACCATTAATCCACTCTTTGATAAAACAATAAATACACTATAAAATTAGCCAGATGACGGGGATAGCATCTTTAAGCTGAAGCCTTCTAACGGTTTGACTCATCCATTCCCTTGAGGGCGTTTAATGCGCCGAGGCACTAACACACAGACTGATTGATGACTTAGGCTCACCCATTTACTGGTGAAACATCATGGATCAAAACTAAACTCTCCACTGCTTCTTCAAAGTATTTTGCCATTAATTGATCAATGGCATTTTAAATTAGAGATGCACTGATACCTTTTTTCCCCCCCACACCATGCAGTTCCACTAGCAATCAAGGAGCATAAACCGAGCAATATCGTAGTTTTTCCAACCGGCGACGGTTTCTTTTCGAGGAGGCTGCGGCATATACTACGTCATTGGAGTCTTTTTTTTTTACGATGGCCGAGATGCAATTTAGTATCTTCCAGGCAGGCTAAGGCAGAATATTCGGATGCGGCCAACCTCTGTGACTCCAGTTTTACTTCTTCAAATGAAAAGACCCTTGATACATACAACAGGAAGGTTTATGTGACAAACAGGAGGGGAGGGAGTCCAGTTACTGTAGTCTCAAGCACATAACAGAATGAATAGCACTTCTTTAAAAGACACACACATCAAGTGCGACTACTATTGCTTGGCTAAATTCCAAATCCTGGCACTGGCCGTAAAATACCTCTCTGCAGAGTATGGTGTTCAGCATGCCAACACACTGATCTGAGATACTGGGCCATCCACTGTCAATACAAATATTATATAAAGGCATCTTAATACAAAATGTTAATGTATATTTTATCAAACCTGCACCCACTTAGTAAGAAGGTAAGTGTGATAAATTGATGGATGGAAATCCTATACAGTAGTCCCTCGCTACTTTGCGGTTCATTGCGGATTCGCTATATCGCAGATTTTCAAAATACGATTGGACATGACACAAATGGCTGATCGATGGATGAGCCATGGATTGTTTATTTAAAATAAAATATTTTTAATGATTTTGCACCATGTGTGCAGCCCACAAGTGCAGGTGAAAGCTCCCTCCTGCAGCAGATCAGCTGATTTCCTTCTCTGCCACGCACACATTTCTCCTGCTGCGGCTTTGTGAAGGGTTAACCCTTTGCTGTCCAGATGCACCGATCGACTTTTGTCTTCTAACTTAAAATTCAAAGTGTGTCGCATAGTAAAATCGTCATAATCACAAAAGATAAGTGTTAAAAGTTATTTTTAATCATTTTAGAACTTCTATGTTCAGTTGTCGAAGTGTAATTGATCAAGAAGTACATTTCTGCTCCGTGCTGCAGAGCTGTGACATCCCTTTGATGTCCTGCTGCACTTCTCTTCTCTAAAATTTAAATACTGTAATATTTTAAATAAACGATCCATGATGTATGGATTGTTAATTTAAAATGTTACAGAATTTAAATTGTTTATTTAAGAAGGGAGATTGGGAGTAACAGGTGATGAGTGAGAGTGATTACAGCCTGGCACGTCATGACAAAGTTTACTGTATCCCTATGTCATGGATTTTCACTTATCGCGGGTGGGCGTGGCCAAAACAACCGCGATAAACGAGGGACTGCTGTACTTGCCAGTCAACGTGCCATACAGTCTTCTTCCTGGTCCCTAAAAAAAAACCTTTACTTTTACAACCATGGTTTGAGTTTTCTTTTTTGATGTTGCTTTAATTCTGTGTGAATTATTTAGATATAATTCATAGCATGTTTTTTTTTTTTTTTTACAATACTAATAACTAAAAAGTACAGTTTGTAATCCACTCCATTACCGTTTATTGCAAGAATATTTCCAAATTGCTAAAACTGATCCTCTTCACTAAACTGCCCATTTTGGTATTGTCAGAACTCTATAATATACTCACTACTTTAATTCTTTGATGAGGTTTTTATGAATCTTTAGGCAGAAATCCTCCACTGAAGTCCGTCCGTTAGGGAGTACAACAGGAGAAGTGTAGTCAGGTAGCTGGCCTTTGGGTTTTGTGTAGCTGCAGATAAACACATTGTCTCAGATGTTACAACATGGACACGCTCATCTTTTTAGTGCAGTGTTTAAATCTGGGATTGCACAAAATTCCCAACTACATTCTTACATGCGCACAAGCTGCAAGTAGTCCCACATCTTCTCCAGCAGGTCATCAAAGTTCCAGCGGTGGTGGGCTGAGATGGGCACGCAGTGGGGCACTTTGTAGATGACATCAAGCTCCTCGATAGAGATCTGGTCTATTTTATTGAGCACAAAAATGCACGGGATGTAGACCCTGTTGAGATAAGAACGTGATCCTCAGTGTTGCCAGTTTATTTATCCTACTTATTAACGGACAGTCAATTTAATAGTTTTTTTTTTGTAAGTGTTTTTCATTATTAGGCTAAAGGAGGAATGACTAACAAATTTTACCGCTAGTAGTTATTTTTTGCCGAACTCAATGTTTTTGCCATGGTTATTTGAACACAGGGTGCAAGCCTGCAGTGTGTTTAAACCAATTTGCATATTTATTTATGAGTACAGGGCAGTCCTAGCAGCTGCGGTTTATCCCACGCACATTGGGATGTATGAAGGGGTGCAGACATGTGCATGTGCATGGTTTGGTAAATCAGATTTTTGTGTGTACGCACTTTTTGAATTTTGTCCATATGCCAACTTTCGGTAAGAAAGCTGCACACTCCTTCCGAGGACCCTTTATCCTTACCAGAAAATCATATAATGTAAAGACAACACTAAGTTTGTGGATGAGTCCAACAAATATTTGATATACAGTAATTTATTGGGATATAATGGTTTGTTTCTCTACAGCTGCATGGAGATTAGAATCATTCAACTTCTGTTGTCTTGAACATAAAATAATGAAGTTTCAGATTTTGTCCATGAACTCACTACTTATTATTCGTTCCACATTACAAATGCATTTATTGCGTCACGTGAAGCTTAGTACATTGAACTCTAATGTTGTATATTTAGGTGAAAAAAAAAAGGACTGTTTAAAAGAGCGAAAGAGCATTTTAAATGCATCTGCACCAGTGTAGGAGTTCCCATTACATTTCAGAGTTCAACAGACTACACCCACAGGAAACACCAGAGGGTCCAGTCCAGCAGCTTACCGGTTTCCCTCCACCACATCAATAAGGTCATCAGCTGTGACATCACTGCGCAGAGTGATGTCGGCGTTGTGGATCTTGTACTCCGACAGGATGCTTTTAACGGTCTCAGCATCCAGCTCACTTTGTGCACACTAATGAAAACAAATCAAATAAAACTTGTCAGAATACAATTATCCTGTGTGGCTACTGATTCGGAGGTTAATGTAAAGAGAGTTTTTCATATTTCTACTTAAGCCTTATGTCGTGTGAGACGCACCGTGGCAGTAAAGTTGATGCCTCCTTTGTCCTTTTTCTTAAACCCGATGTTGGGTGGTTGTTTGTTAAGTCGGATGCCAAAGCCCTCAAGCTCGTGTTCAATGAGCTTCTTATGAAGAAGAGGCTTTAACACGTCGAGCACTATCAGGATTAGATTGCAGGTTCGAGCCACTGATAACAACAAGGAGGTAGGAAAGACAGCTGTTAACTTTGTGTGCAAGAGAACGTCATTATGTTTTTAGTGGCTACAGTAGGAATTTGTGGTATTTTTGTCTTTTAAACTATTTATTTTACTATTAGAAGTGCTCAATATTGTGCAAAACCCACTGATGGCCATTAAGAGCATAAAACACAATTATGAAGTGAATGAAACAACTGAAAATGTGCTGTAATACATCATGTTTTAGGTTATAAATAATTCTGATTTCTAAAGTAGTTTCTGACAACGCAATACAGTTTCACTTAATTATATCTGTTGTTTTTTGTTGTTGTTTAGCAGCAATATTCACGACTGCAAGAGTACCTGCGATGACCTGTCGGCCTCTCCCCTTGCCGTCCTTGGCTCCCTCAATGATTCCTGGGAGATCCAAGAGCTACAAAGAAACAAATAATCAATTGATAAGTTCTCTACAAACTGCAAATTAAAGATTAGTTTACTAGACCATAAAGGAAGAAAGAAAAAAATCTTGTACCTGAATTTTGGCACCTTTATACCGAATAACTCCAGGCACAGTTGTAAGTGTTGTGAACTCATAGGCTGCAACCTCAGAGTACACACCTGCAAGGTTACTGAGCAGGGTAGACTTTCCAACTGAAGGAAAACCAACAAAACCAACTCGGGCGTCACCGGTTTTTGCAACATCAAAACCTGAAAGTAGGAGAATTTAAAATGTGAATTTCTGTGAAGGTGATGAAATGACACATCTGTTTTAAAGCATCATAGAAGAAGAAAAAACTAAAACGTAAAAAAAATTAAGCCAACTCTGGAGCAGGAAGCGGATTATATCTGAAATATTGTAATCTTACCTTCGCCTGTTCCACCCCCACTGCCGCCTTTCGGTGTGATGAGTTCCCTCCTCAGTTTGGCTAAACGTGCTTTGAGCAGACCCAAGTGGTGAGCTGTGGCCTTGTTCTTTTGCGTCCTGGTCATCTGCAGTGAGAGGTAACAGCAGAGTGCATGACAGTGTAATAAGCAACTTAAAGTGCCTGGATCTTCTCACCGCTCAGGCTGCTGAATCTCTTTAAAGCTGAGATTTAGAAAGGATGTAACCTGATATTGTTTCAAACTGATTAAATAGAATTTTTATAAATGCTAGTTCATTGTAATGATGATGATGATACATTAAAAAAAAAACAATCAACTATATTAGCACTAAATTCTTGTTTAGTTTGAATGCTGTATGGTTTCTATTTATAATTATCCACCTACATTTGGGGTTGTCTTCAAAAATAATAAAAAAAATAAAAAATAAATGCTGCCAGAGGGTTTTATGATGGGGTTTTATGTGAGCTCAATAAAGACAAAAAAGTTCATTTAATTGTGAATAAATAAACACCAATAAACAAATAACAAGACATTCACAAACAAAATTGTGTTAATTTGAGTTTCCCGTTGTGCACCTGTGGGCCACCGTAGTTTTTCCAGCTCTGTGTTGCCAACACACTGATCGTTAGGTAACCTGTGATCCTTAATGTAATATATCATGAGACAGACGATTGTTAACAACTCTACAGGGTCCATTGTCTTTTACATCAACAAACATTAACATATATAGTCATTATATGTGCTATGAAAACAATTAGCTGTCAATTAAACCGAAGCTAGCTTAAGTCACATACATCCGTTGTATTCTTAATTCACAATGCATTTTAAATAAATATATACAACCTATTTTATTATTATAACACTTTAACGGATCGAAAAACCAGCTGGTCCATAATATAGAGCAAACGGATCTCTGCTGTGATGGACACTTTGGCGTTTGCGTGTAGCCGTGTTAGCTAAAACGTGACAGACAAGTTTATAACTAAGCCCTCAATATTCGACTTACCTCATTTTCTATTTCTGCTATTTTAGCGAGTATGCTCATGGTGACGATAGCTTCGGTGCACACTTCACGTTAGGAATATTATCTGGAGAGATTTTACAAGAAATATGACAAAAACCTAGCCGCCGAGTAGCTCACACCACGCAAACGCGGCTGTTTCCGAAGAAATCTCGCGAGATCAGAGATTGTGCATTAAAACGGGTGCTATGCCCGATGTGTTGACTCGCAGGAAAAATGTCTTTACAAGGTTCTGACATTATAAATTGACTACAGTAAACCTGTTGATCTGAAATGACAAAATCTAAGGCAAGATGATAAAATATTGTGCAGGACAAGCATTTAAATTTAAGTTTGATATGCGAGCTGAAATGTTGTTTTTCTTGTTCTTTTGGAATTTAATTACGGTAATTAATGCACACAACTGATTTTTTAAATGCAACAAAACTCCGGTGATTATCACATATTTGTCTTGTGCCACATAAAGGAAGCTTGTTTTTAAATTCTCAGTCAAAAAATAAAAATGTCTTGCATCATAATTTCTTGTTGGTTTATTTTAAATAGAATAAATAATGAACAAATATTTTTTTATTTTAAAATTTGGGTTTCAATACCTAGATATTTTCCACTAGATTTTTGCAATTTTGAATTAATTTGTATGAAAAACAGCAATACATTAGCTGTAAGCTCACTCAAGAAAAAAGTTCATTGCAACATTTGACTCTAAATCAGAATTACTGTAAGGCTGCAAGGTTTTCCTTCATGCAGTTTTAGCCAAGATGAACTAGCATACTGACAATGAAGTGTGCATGCATGTCTGAATATCAGGCTTTTTTGTAGCTAATTATATTCTATGACATGTTCTTTTGTGTGTTGCCAGTGCCACGTGCCTTGTAATCCTTACAATCCTTGTGAATCTTTCATGTGAGTTCGCTCACAGTGACACCCCTTGAAAAGGGAGCAGCCGAAAGAAGAACAACAGCAAAGTTTAAGTTTGTGTATATCAAATGAGTTCAAAGGTTTTTCTCTATATGCACCTTATTTATGCTTTTAATCTTTGTAAATTGCACACTTGATCTCTGCCTGGAAACTGTGGCTAAATCAGCTTCCTACTATATAATAATGTGCATTCTACTTGTAAAAAATGAAAATAAAAATGGCTGCTACAAGTTTATTGCTGGAGCACACTTTACTCTGATGATGCGCTCAGATAAAAAAAAAACTGTGTATGCCGTATTGGTTGGTCTGAGAGAAAATAAACTTTGTCTTTGGTGATTTGAGAAGCTTGTTTTATGCAGCAACACCTACAAACCTTCTTTAATAGTCCTAATTGATACACCATCTCACTCAAAAAAAAAAAAAAAAAAAAAGAACACAGCCCTGTCTAATTGTGTATTTTTAATATTTAATTATTATCAGTAAAGTTGCATACAATATAATCTCTCATTGGAATCTTTGTTGCTAAAGTTTGTCAACTGCACAGCTGTCATTTTTGCAAACTTTCTTGTTGATTTATTGGTTTGTGGGTGACAAATTCAACACAGCTGACTGGATGAGTGACCAACCCATGCTTTGCTCTGTGTAACTCCAGTAAACATGGGCAAATACTGAATAATAATGCCTATTGGGTAAAATAATGTGCATATTTATGCTTAAAAAACTCTCTTTGCTAAGATACAGTATTTCAAACCATATTTCTATTGAAGAGGTGTGCTTGTCCTCATGTAAATGTATAAAAATATGCATTTTTCAGCTGTCGTTCAGAATATGTTGTTGCCCAGCTGCGATGACAGTGAGCACAGATAGCACAGAAAAGGGGAGACACAGCAAAAGATGGGTGTAATTACTTCCTTTATGATCATTCAGTGCATTTCTGTAGACCTCGACAAGTCTATGTGAATGCATCTTTACGAAAAACAAACAAAGAGGACTTTTGACCTGGTTTATGACAATAAACCCATGCCCAGATTTCTACCATAATCGTCATTTAACAAATAATGCATCTTTATATCAGTCAGCATTGAAGTGCATTGCTTAAAAAGTAAGTGCAAGTACAGGTTTTGATGCATTCCTTTTGACTTGAGGGTCAAATCACTTGCAATGTCGTCCTCCTCCCAAAAATAGGCATTCTACGGGAGGACTCTGCAAAGGAAAACTGCTATAGTTGATGCTGTTTCTAACCTAAAATATACTTGTTGTTATTTTTGTCCCCTTTTTAATTTAAGACTTTTAAGTTATCTCTGAGTGACTCTGTGTCGGAGGGATTTTCATCTTCCTCCTGTTGTCACTTGACTCCTGGCCATCAAGCACAGCACTTTTCCTTAGTGTTACCGACATGCTCCCTGATTGGAACACAGCATCTGAATCAAGCCAGCAGAAGCACAAAGTCTGTGTAAAGCACTATTTTAGTGCAATAGTTTCACACCTGGTAATTTTGCCACCTAGAACTGGCAACCTCTGCATAGAGACGGAGAAGAGTTCTTGTCATAGCCCCATTGATAGGTCTTTTATTACTGAGGGAAGCGCCATTATTTGTGGTCTGTCACCAGAGCGAGGATAACGACACCATTTGAGGTAATAAAAACAATAACAGCATGAAGTTATCCATTAAAATTCATCGTCCCCAGTGACTCAAATTCTGTCATCAGAATTTGGATAATACTTATTGAAACCATAAGGCTTTACAATAAATGCAACTTGGCCATATGATGGCAAACGTCTTTGAGTGGAGGCCTTCCCTTTGGACTCTAGCTGCTCTCTGAGGAGGTGGGTGGCGCCGTGGAGGATGACCTCCGTCGTGACACCGACTGCGAGCGCTCGGGGTTGTGTTTGTCATACGGCTGGAGCTGCACTTCCATGAAGTCCCTGTGCTGCTGGTTGATGACCTGGCTGATGAGTCCAGGAAGAGCTTGCAAGTTAGTCAGTAGAGTCTCCAGCTTTGTCTCCAACAGGGCAATCCTCTTCTCCATGTCCTCGCCTCGCTCGTTTAAGTCCGACACCATGTCATACATGATGTTCTGAGTCTGCAACGGGACAGAAGAAACACCCTTCATGCAGTTATTTGCCAGACTGGTGTCAGGTTTGAATGAATAACTCGTAAATACTGATAAGTGTGCAGATTAAGTTCAAATCTGGAAAAAGAGAAACTACTACACAAGAGACTGAGAGATGCAAATGAAAAGCTGCACATTCTCAAACACTAAATTAAGGTTAAATGTTCATTTTTAACTTTAGACCAGGATAATTTTTTTTGCAAAAATAAATAAATAAACAAGTAAATAAAACACAAGTGATGAACTGCTAATGGTCCGGTCAATTCTTCAGTGATTTCTTCATTTTTGTTCATTCTTCCGTATTAGTTTTTATAATGAATGCAGACACAGATAATAGGTGTCAAGGGTGGCACGGTGGCTCAGTTGGTAGACTTGTTGCCTCTCAGCGAGAAGGTTGCTGGATCAAATCCCGACTGTGGGCCTTTCTGGTTGAAGTTTGCATGTTCTCTCTGTGCTGCGTGGATTCTCTCCTGGTACTTTCCTCTCACAGACCAAAAACAAGCAAGACTGGTAACTCTAAATTGTCCCTATGAGTGAGTGTGAATGGTTGTTTGTCTCATTTGTCTCTATATGTCCCTGTGATGGACTTGAGACCTGTCCAAAGTGTCCACCGCCTCTCGCACAATAATAGCTGGACCCCAGCGACCCGAAAAGGAAGAAGCAGATAAAGATAATGGATGAAACCTGAACATACCATGATGCTGATTGTCATTTAATGATTAAAAAACCAAACAGTTTTTCAGTTCCTGATCACCTTTCCTTTACTGTGGTGTGAGTTATTTTGAGGTTAAAGTAAAATGACACGAAAATTCATTATAGGATGAAGAGTTATTAAAAAAAGTTAAACCTAAAAACAAACACGTTTTGTTTTGTGCCATTTCAAACTTCAACAAGATGAAAGTTGTCGAGCATAAAGTCACATAAGTGAAATGCAATGTTGTAAAACCTGCTTATTTTGTATTAAACAAAACATTTTCCTGTTTCAACACTTGATTTGTTGCATCAGTGAGGATTTTAAGATGGGCTTTGAATCATTTGCAGCAGATCATTCCTTTTTTCACATTTTACAGAAACTCCAAAGTTGCTTTTAAAAACGTCTAAGCTTTTACAGTTTAACATTGCAAAAACATTGAAACCCCCCAAAAATACTTTCATTATAGCGCTGTTTCAGGGACCAGTTGGGGAACAGAACAGCGTTAGCAATTTAATTTAAAGCAGAAGAGTTTTCAAATTCAGAAAAGCCATAATTATTTAAAAAAACGTGATGTATGATTGCAGCTTTATGTTGATTAAACTTAATATTTTCATGTGAAATAAAACATTTTACTAAGAGCTTGAGGACACAAGAAAGGCAGTCGATGACAACATTTTATTTACTTACTAACCTTCTTTTCACACTTTAAATAAAATATATATTTGCCCACAACTGTCATCAACAGATGCAGGAATTTGTCACATTTCTCATGTATTTTATTCTCACGGGGTGAAGCTGAGCAGAGGGAGGTCTCAGTGTAGAAGCTAATAATCTCCGTCAGGCTGGAGGTGACGTCATCCATCACTTACCTCGTTCTATTCTGATGTGTGAGGCAGGAATGATGGGACGTCTAAAGCAGTGAGGAAACACTGCACCGCTCAGCCCAACAAGAGTTTTACTGCATTTGGCTGCATCTATAAATCAATAATTACTCATCATGTAAAGATCGTTGGGCGGCTCACCAAAGGTAAAACTCATTCTTGGGATACGTTTCTCTTCTGGTTCTTGCTTGCAAATTTAGAGCTGAATAAATCGTAAAATTATAGATGAAACAAGAAGAAATTAAATATTGATGGGATTCAATCTGTCCCAGAAAGTCATGCACGAGGAGCAGCCCTTATTATCAGAGGAGGACGATTATGGAGCAATAAAGCACTTACAGTTTTCAAATAAGAAACGAAGTAAAGTGAGATCAGTTTATATAGTTTGATGGCATGCAATTCAAACATAACAGGAACACTGCAAAGAGAAACAAGAAATAAGTACTGTATTACTTAGAGCAAATGAAAAACGCCCCATCATAGACTGTAGTGAGAATAAATTAAAGTGATGAATTGAGGAGTTTGGCCTTGCACTGCAGTGATAATGCACCTTCTGCTCATGTGCAGCTCAAACTTCCCACTGAGAGCATGAGAATCCACAGCGTGCACTGCCCTCTCACGGCTGCAGGCTCCCACAACAACAGTTTGATATGCATGCTGAGCGGCAGCGACCATTAGGCACCTTTTCCAGCACCAAATCCCAAATCTCATTGCTGTTTTAGAGCATGAGATGATTGGGCAGCATTAACGAACACCTTTCGTGACATGCTGGCTTCAGTCCAGCGTGACTGGGGTGTGCTTTTGAATGTCAAAGTGTCCTGCTTTCCCCTCCTCTTTGTTCTTTCTTCTTCTTTCCTGCCTTTATTTCTTGCTGAACCATCAAGTCACAGTGTCTCCCCACCCAGGTTAGAGTTTCTGCTGTGTCAGACTGGCACACTGCCTGTGTTTCCCTGAGGCTTGGCGACTTATAGTGCATCTGAACGCAAACACTATGAAATACCAAAAAAATCTGACGGGTTTCTCGTTAGTTTTATTCAGTCATTATCTGGAGAACAGGATCTGTAAAACTTACACTGAAAAATAAAAGGGGTTATTATTCTGCATTCAAACAATCTAACGCTCAGGTGAGCGCAGTCAACCACAGTCATGAGAAAAACTTAAAGCCTGTCTGTTTATTTGACACCTGTAGACTTTGTCTATATAAGAAAGGACAACTAGTGAGAGAAACAGCATGCATTGAATTCCACCCACAGAAGTGAAACAGGCCAACTGGACAGAGCAGCAGTGATCTGTTGAAGTCTAGCTTACCTTGGCAAGGTCCACTAGTGAGTTTGCTTGGTCATTCAGCTTGCGTTGCTCCATTTTAACACTTCTCAATCTGAACACAAGACCATTCAGAACCCAGTGAGTCAACTCTATCAGGAATTTGAGTTTTGTGCGCACACAGGCATACACATGAAGAGCACTCCTGGGACATGCACAGGGATGTGTGTAGGAGAATGGAAGGATTGCAGGGGGTCACTCTTTCTTTCTTTTTTTTTTTTTGGCTGAGCTGCATGCAAGAGGAAAGGAGGCAACAGAAAGGGGGAGAGCTAATACTGATTAGGAAAAAAAAAAATCAGCTCTGTGTCCTTAATCAATGAAAATAAAGGACTCATGGGACTCAATGCTGGATAAAGACCCATCTAAGGACTGGCATTTCAAATGTGCCCAGGCTGTAAATGTTGTAATGTCTGGTATTTGTTAATGCTTGTCCCTATATACATAAACAATTATTAGTTTAATAATAATAATAATAATAATAATAAAGGACTTAATTTATTTCTGTTTTTAGCATTCTAAATCGTTTTACAACCTAGCGTTTGTTTAATTTCGTTTTTTAAATACCATTTTCTTTTATTCGTTCTTCTCAATTTGTATGCTTTTTATGATTGTCCATTGTTGTCATCACTCTTAGTTAAAACCAGGTCTCTCTTGTAAATGAGTCCCTGAGGTTCAATGGGAAAATCTGTATAAATAAAGGTTGAATTAATTAATTAATAAAAAATAAATAAATAAAAAAAAAAAAAATTAAGGACTTCTAAAGTCCTGGTTCTGCTTAACACGCAAGGAAATAAAATGGCCATGACATTCTAAAGTTGTTTCCTTTTTTAAATTATGATTGATAAAACCAAGTTGTTTGTTAGGTGTGATGAAGGATTTAAACCCCCAAAATGCAGGGCGACTAAACGCGCTCGGAAAATAATAAAATTCAGATCTGAAAAAACAGGAAACAAAATGCTGTCAGACAGGAAAATAAAACAAAAACAAACAAACATACAAAAAAAAAAAAAAAACATAACTCTAGGAGAAGATATTGTGGACTGCAGGTGGAGAGAATAAAAGCAGTTCTGGGTAAAATAACAACAGGGAGCAGGTGTGAGGTGGAGGGGCAGGTCTAAGGAGCAGAGGCTTACTGTGAAAAAGTACTGAGAATAACAGAAAACACAGGGAGGCATAAGAAACAAACTGAACACAAAGAAAATAGAGAAAATAAATGGGACAGGAATGAACAAAAATCTCAAAAACAAAAAATAAACACAACAAAACCACAGATTAAGCATGTACTTGTTAAACATAAATTGCTTTTTGTAAGATTTAGATCACTGCTATGAATTTTTGTCTGCATCCGTGTTGCTTTTTTGAGGGTTTCCAAAATTAATAATAAAAAAACACAGATAGGAACTTAGAAAATCATGATTTCAGAGCAAACTTTACAATACAAGGGAAAATCTAACGCTAATAAAAAGGCATAAATAGTTTAATTTGACTTGTGACAGCAGAGGCATGTTTATGTATTAAAAACCAAACTATGATATAAAAATTACTGGGAAAAAGTGACATTTTAGGTACAAAATCATTCAGGGAACCCGTCTCCTTTTATTAGGCTTTTAAAGGCTATTTTTACAATATTCTCTCAGGGGGCTCTGAAACAGCAACAATGCAGTAATCCAGAGTAATAACTTCATATTGCTTCAAGATATTAAAAAAAATATATATATTTTTTATCCTGACTCGTGAACATTTTCTCAATTACATGAACATTGGTGAAAAAATTGCCTTGATTTTATTTGGTGGGCCTTTTAACTGTGACATTATTGTCAGTAGAGAGTAAAACGATCAACAGTTTGTGTGCGAATCAATTGTGTTGTCCTATGAATCAACAGAATACACAATGGCTTTAAATCAGTTGACATGGCCCTATTTTCATGTATGGGCAGGATGTTTTACTATCCTCCTGAAAACAGGTAAATGTGAAGATGTTGACAAGTTTAACCAACAGAGGGTGCCACAGGAGTAGTGAAGAAAAACACAGAGTAGGCTGAAAATCCTCACATTTTAAAAGTTAAAAGCTTAATAAAATCATAAAGTAAGTGCAACTATTGCACCTTTTGTAAGTAAAGTAAGGAAATGCAGCATCTCTTTGAATATATATCAGATAATAGACGCTCTATGCTGGGTTTGGGCTGGATGTGAACCCTACTAGAAATAAACATTTCGCAGTCAGAGGATGGAGAGGTTGAAGAACAGAGCAGCTCGGGCCATAATGAAAACCCTACTTATCCGATGTCTTCAATTCTGTCTTCGTTGCGTAGTCAATCACTCCTCTCAGGCAGTTCTACCTTTGAACAGGCCCTCTTAAATCTGCCTGCGATTCGTCAGGGGAAACGACTACGCCTTTCAATACTCCACTAAATCTATCAGAGCAATCCCTGTTAGTACTGCTCAGACTTCCTGGGTTTTTGTCACGACCAATGTTTCAAATACGTTTGTCTGAACCTTTTGTGGAGGGGGAAAAAAAATGTGATTTTTCCACCTGCGTAAGCTTGAAAACTCAGCTTGGTTTTGTTAGCTTGGAATAATCCGATAGTGGATTCAATCACAACACAACCAGTAAAAGGATCAAAAAGTTGGAGTCAGGGCCTCTCTGTGGGTCACAGCAGTATATGGAAAACAGTAAATAGTTGGAAAACACCACAACAGTTTTTGAGCCAATTTGATAAATAGCAATGTTAGCTGCATTTTTTCATGCATCTCTACAATGGTTATTTGGGGGAATTAAAAGTTAAAAACATAAGGAAACCCCTGACATATGCATCTGTTTGGTTAAAACTAGGGATTCCATTCCATCAAATTAACATACCGATATAAAAAGTGCTCTTTTTTATATATGTATATTATATATTTATATAGTGTTACATCATTTTCAGCCCCCTTTTTGGCATCTGTATTTGGTAGCAGGCCATATTGACAAAGACCGTGCAGAATAATGTAGTATTTTAATTCCACAGCAGAGAAAACTATGTAGTCTCTGTAAGTAGGTCTAGGAAATAAAAAAAATCTGTATTGTTATCTGTCAAATAATTTTTAACATATCGGCATATCGGATATCGGCCAAAAATCTAATATTGTGCATCCCTAGTTAACACGTATTACTGCTCCTCGTTTAGGTTTAATAAATCCCACTAACACATCGGAATAAAGTCTACATTTAATGTTTGCTTATATAAAGTGTTGCAAACTTGACTCTGTGCCGACCAGACTTCTAAGTTTTGTTGATTACAGACATCCATTGACCAGTTTAGCCTCTCTCCAGTGTGTTTTTGTTGACGTTACATTTATAGTTGTATCCTCTTTGGCACAAATGGGATTTTCATGGAAGTTGACCTCCCTATTAGATTACTTTATATGACTGACCTTCAAACTAACGAGCACTCACTGGCCTCCTATGTGATTCCCATTTTAGCCTTGAAGGCTGGAACTGGACAGTGATCTCAACAAGGTTATCTTGATTTTGCAGCTGCTGTGGCGTAAACCTCACTCTAAGACATCCTGATGTTGGACTCAACGTACCTCAGCTAACTCTTCTGATTACCCTTCCATGACAGGTGTATGTCCTTGTTACTGCGCTGATTAACAGCCCGTATGTCTGTTATTCCAGCAGAGGAGTGGAGGAAATGTGTGGCTGCAAATGCAGTAACAGGCGCAACAACAGTTCCACTCGCCGAAAGATGACCCCCGAGCCCCGCTCTTGTATGAGCATGACTGCTCTGTTGTAAAGAACAAGTCTTTTGAGGGGAAGAAAAGGAGAAAATATCAATGCACTTGCAATATGGCAGCTCTGTCTGGTGGGGAGCTCCAGCCGTCATCCTTCGGTATGTGAAAACACAGCTGATTGGAGTTTAATCAGTGGCTTTCTGATGAAAGGTCAAAGTTTCATCACGTTCATGCAGAAATGGAAAGAAAAACACCCTCCATCACTGATAATTGAAATTCACTTGGTATAAATCCGTAGGTGCGTTCACGGTGTGCTGCATGTACCTTAAAGATAAATGTCCGTGAGCGTTTTGTTAACTAACTTACAAAATCCTGTGTGACACCTTATTTAATGTAATCTTCCTGAATGTGTCATGTGGAGCGGTTAATTGCAAACGACATCCAAGGCATGAATTTCACTTATCAAATGAGGGAGTACAAGTTTTTTTTTTTTTTTAGTAGCATCATTGGGTTCAAGGACAAGCTCTCGTTAGCATGCACACAACAAGACTCTAGCTACATTAAAGGCGAAGACTTACTTTCGAGCTCTATTGCATTGTGCGGACACAAACAGGAAAAAAAAAAGGGAACATGAAGTAGACAAATGGATTATCACAACATCAGATAAACATATTCAGATGAGAAAAATCGGACTGCTGACAAATCTTGTCCTGAAACGAGTTTGTCATTTTTTTCCCGTATTTCTTCTGTTCCTGGGCTGAGCCGTGCTCTGAACCTAATCTACTGGTTTTTCATCCACTGTGGTCCTAACCCTGGTTATCAGACGTACACAGGAGCTTTCTTTGGTGTTTGCACCAATCTGAGGCACAGTCAATAAAAACAACCTTCTTGATGGTGTTTGCGTTTCTGAAAAGACTCCTGGACAAAACCAATGCCTCGAGCATCCATTGCTTCAATTATCAGCTTAACGCTCATCTGTTTTTATTTTAACCAATGAGAAATTGAAGGAAATAAACAGATTTGCATGACAGGACTTTGATATCTTTGGGCTTTTTAATCAGCCCTCAACCTGGCTGGTTGCTTCTTAATTGAGCTCAGTCAAAACATATTTGCATCCTGGTTGCAGGCATCGCTTCAAACTCCAAGATTAAGCCTGTGAACACGCTAAATCAAGACGACAGGAGGACAAAATCGTTATAAGACAAAGGTGCAATGAGGGAACATGGACAACATGCCGAGAAGCTGCTTTTGCACACATAGTGAGATGACTGTTTCATTTTCTGCAGGTTATAGATTCATCTGCAGCTTGGAGCAGTTCGCATTATGAGACTGTCTGACCCGAGCTCTAAAGAACAGGAGGCGAGGCTTTGTTATCACTGCTGCAAATTGCCTAAATCCAACATCAAGGGCAAGAAAACACAATCTAACTGCAGCAATCTGAAAGCTGGCTGCAGGAGCAAATATAACTCACCTGCCCTGTCTTGTAATCAAGATATTTAAAACACAAATGTATGTTCACAAGGAGCAAATCAAAGTTGCACACAGAGAATCCATAAACACGATTTAAACCGCAGAAAGAAAACAGACGCACGCAGAGAACTTTTGTTTTTTTGCCTCTTGAAATGTTAAGCTACAGTACATACTAACAAAATCACTCGTTATTTATCCTGATAAAGCACCGCTCAGATTTCCAGCAGCTACAGACAGGAAGCCGCAGAGTGGAAGTGTTGGTGAGCACTGTAGCGTGAGGAAAAACAACAGCGAGGGAGGCTAAAATCAATACTGTTTTGGAGTAAGTTGGAAGTCTTTGGGGACCTGCTAAAGGACTAGCTGACAGGTGAGTGTCTGACCGGTCAGCGGAGAAACAGAAACCCAGATGCGTCAGCCCCTGAGGCCAGCCTGACACCTGACTCAGAGAGGGAGACACACGAGTCGACCTGACAGCACACGGCAAACAAGAGACAAATCAATACCAAAAGACTAAAAACTCCCAAATATTTTACATTGAACTGAGCTTGACTCTAACAAATAGCAATTCATACCCAGTTTTTGATACAACCTGTAAGGTCCAGTGGATGTTTTATACAGAGAATTAAAAAAAGTAAGTGAAAATACAAAACACCCTGCCTTAATCTGAGCACATATATTTTTGCTACAGGTGTCAAACAATTCAGATTTCAGGTTTTTGTGAATCATATTAATGTCCTGCAGGCTAGTGAGCAACGTTAGGTGGGAGAGGGGTGGTCACCTACTGGTGAATGGCTTGGAGAAATTTCCTCTGGTGCTTTCTGACTCTAGCGTGGTCCATCTTCCTCACTAGTTTGGTGTTCTTGTAGATGAGCCAAGTCTCCCTGAGAACATTCGCAGCTGTGTTTTTCACCTACAAGCACATAAAAATAGGAACAAGCACAAATGCATATTATTATTATAAAATTTATTCATTTTTTAAAAAACAAAACAATTCTATATAGAATAAGAAATACAATCGCAGATAAAATGAAAGGCGGCAGAAAGAAGAAAAAAATCTTATAATATCTGCCCCTTTTTCCAAATAATTAATTCAAACAATAATAATCTTCAAATAACAAAAACAAAATAAAGAACTCCTTCTCGAGCAACAATTCATACAAATACACATTAAGCTATTTCATATTTTCTTAACAAACCAGCTTTGATCATTCTCTTAAACATACGTATTTTTAACATCACTCTCCAGATTATTCCATAATCTAATTCCTTGGATTGAAGTAGACCGTCCCTTCAAACTAGTTCGAAATTTAGGTTTCACAAATCTTTCTGTCCCCTTAAGATTATAACAACTCTCTCTTTTAACAAAATTTAATTGGATATTTAAAGGTAATGTGTTATCATAAGCCCTATACATAACTGATAAAATATTATAATCTACCAAATCATGAAACTTCAATAACTTCAGGTTATAACATAAAGTACTTGATGAGTGACTGAAATGATTAATATTCTTACAGCTCTTTTCTGTAAAACAAAAATAGGATTTGTAATTGTTACACCTTTCCCCCAAACATCAATATAATAGTTTAAGCGTGGAACAATTATTGTGTTATACAACATATACAGAGCTTTATCATTCAATAAGTCCCTTACTTTGTATAGTACTGCAATAGATTTAGTTTTTTTTATTCTTACATCATTTATGTGATGTTTCCATGTCAGCTTTTCATCAATGATAACACCCAAAAACTTCACCTCACTAACTCTACAAATCTCAACACCCTCAACTCTAAATGGAACATTGACAGTTCTCTTTCTTTTACTGAATATCATATAGTTAGTTTTATCTAAGTTTAATGATAATTTATTAAGTTTAAACCAAGTTTGCATTTTTACAAATTCTGTCTGCATCAACTCCAACATCCATTCCATATCTTTACCCAAGCAAACAAACAAAAAAGTGGTATCATCTGCAAATAGAACACATTTAAGTGACACATTTACCAAGTCATTCACATATAAAATAAATATCTTTGGTCCAAGTACAGAACCTTGAGGAACTCCACATGTGATATTACAGATGTCAGATCTTACGTCATTCATTTGTCTTTCAAAGAGCTAGATACCCACTGTAGTGTTAGTCCTCTAATGCCATATTTATTCAATTTTTCAATGAGAGTAATTTGGTCAATAGTATTGAATGCCTTCTTTAAATCAACAAAAATACAAACACAATTTTGTTTTAGATCTATCTGAACTATCCCTTTATATTAAAGGGATAGTTCAGCTTTTAATGATGTTTTGTGATGTTACAAGTAAAGGTGGTATATCATCGGGCTGTGGCTACTAGCTGGCGACTAAATTGTGTGAAAATATGCCATTTTCTTGCAGTCTCACTGAATTTGTGACAACAATCAGCAATTTGTGTGCTTGGTGTCAGGGCAGAAATTGAATATATTTTACTATGCAGTGACCACAAAGTTCAATCAGCTTTAAAAAGAATCAGAACAAACTATAAAGTAAAGAGGAACTCACCATGCAGCTTTCTGATTTACCACTTTGAGTGATAAAATCCAGACAAAACAGACATTTTTAAATATCCCCAAGAATGGCTGTTTGTCAGTTGATCAGACATGTTTTATTCTCTTGAGGTACTCAGATAAAAAAAAAAAACAACCTACTTATTTTGGTGAGCACAGTTAGTAAATCTGTATTTTAGGCCATGCACATTATTTCGGTGCCCAAATTATTCCTGTCTCGACCCACTTTGTCCCCACGGTGGCCACAACGTTAATGATTTAATGTACTAGACTTCTAAATAACCTGCTAACTCATCAATTTGATCAGAGGTAAATGCTAATTCTCCAAACAGAAGCTGTTCAAAGAGTTACCTATGACAAGTTAGATATTTATCATTCACAACTTTTTTGTAGAATCACTTTAAAAGAAATTAACAATTCCTTTAACATATTTGATTAGAAAAAAAAAAACCCTTATAACTCAGTCACCTTGTTTTGCAGTGTATATACCTGTATGTAAATAGCCATCTGGTGAGATGACAACATTATAAAGGTTTATAAAATTGTGTTTATCGAAATCGCCATGATGTTTTTAAGATTTGAGTTGTTTTAAGACAGCAGACACTATGCTCAGATTATCTAATAGTTTGTTAAAACTTGTGCCATATATTCCAAACTGATAACCCTCAGTGATTTCTACTCCAGGTTTGTAAGGATTTCACTGATTTCTGGTGACAACTACACATACTACCTAAAACAACAACAACAACTCTTACTTTAAGGCAGGAGTGTCAAACTCACTTACTAAAGGGGACCAAAATTAAAATATTTTTCAAACAAAGGGTCAGTTTCAGAATCTACATTAACTCAAGTTAGATACTTAACATCTTTCTTGGTTGCAGGTTTTTCAACAAAAGTTTGATTGGTCACATTTGACATTCTTTGTTGCACTTTTGACACCATGATCAAAGATTACTGAAAAAATCCAAGCGATAAAAGTATTTTATGTTTAACATTATCATCTTGAGGGCCAGATAAGATGACCACGAGGGCCACATTTGGCCCCCGGGCCTTGAGTTTGACACGTGCTTTAAAGCAATGCTGCTATGCTGGGTGGGAAACTTTTCCTTACCCTTTTCGTCAGCTGGGTATCCATCATAAAATTGTGGACGTGTTTTTCAGCTTTGGTTAGTTCCAATTTCTTCGCCACTACGGCCACCACCAAAGCAGTGCAGCCGGCACCCTATAAAGGACACAAACCTGGACTAATTTCTTTTAATTTGGCAATCTTCATGAAAACATCCTAAAATGCTTTCCTAAAATATGATAAAAGGATCCAGATAGTTGTACTCACCATAATGCCTGTCAGGAGGCAGACTCCTTTTCCACAGTATGTGTGTGGGACCATATCCCCATAACCAATAGTGAGAAATGTGATTGAGATCAACCACATGGCTCCAAGAAAGTTGCTGGTTATATCCTGGTTGTCATGGTACCTGTAATAAATAATAAATGTAACAGGCTGACCAACATTCGTGTGATTTATTTCAAAGGACAATCACAGTCAAACAATTCTATTCCACCCCGTGTATTTAAAATGAAGTGTTTTGTCAGGTTTGTGCAGAATAAATCAGTCTGTCTTATCAGAGTGAGTGTGTGGTCTCGCTTTTTATGCCTTATCCATGTTTCATGCTGAGAAACTGATCCAGGCACCTCTCGCAAGCTCTCACTGTCCATGCAGCGATGATCCACAGCGAGATGGTGAAGACCAGCAGCACAGTGCCGGGGCAGATAGTCATGAGGGTTTTCATCACAAAGCGTGTGTTAAAGTTTATCTTGTTGAGTGCACCGATGCTGCGGGACGAGGCGTCGGTGAAGAGCTTGCTGTGCAGCAGCATGACTCGAGCGATGAGGTACAGCCGCAGGAACATGGGAATGGACAGGATGATGTCCACGTCTGCGTCTGTCTTGGATGGGATGTAGGAGTACGCCAGGCGTGCGGTCCAGGTGAAGGTGTAGTTTCCTGGGATGGGGTGTATGGCGCACACCAAGATCTCCAGACAGATGAAGAAGATGCGTTCGTAAGTCATGGCTATCCTCCAGTCGTCTGCTGCATTGTCCACCATGAAGAGCTGCAGGAGGAGGGCACAGGGAGGGGGGGGTGGAGAGTTACAGACAGCAAACATTTACATCTTAGAGAAAACAAACTAGCATGAATGTTGATTTAGCAATCACACTATTCATACATTATTTTTCTGCACATTTTGTGTAACTTTAACCTTTCATATGTCAAAACGCTCAGCTGAAAACTTTCACTTTAGGTTTTTAATATTTATATTTTTTCTAATAATGAACTTTATTTACAAATATTCTAATGGTCAATCCCTTTAAAATCATTGTTCTAGGTAAAATATGCTCTATTTTTGTCTTCTTTTATGTAACTTTTTTTTTTTGCCACAATTATGCAGCTTTTGTTAATATAGTGCAGGTCTCTCCTGCAATTGTGTCTCAACGTGACTGAAGTGTTTGAAAAAGGAAATTAATATACCTAAAGACTAGCAAAAAGTATCAAAATAATAGCTACAAGCTAAAAGTATCTAAAAGCTGGCTAATAAGCACAAGTAGTGGAAGCTTTGATAAAGTTAGAGAGGACAGACTGAGATGGTTTGGACATGTCCAGAGGAGGGACAGTGGGTATATTGGTAGAAGGATGTTAGAAATGCAGCTGCCAGGAAAACTCAGTGGACACAGAGAACAGAGTAAGATGGAGGATGAGGCAACCCCTGAAGAGGAAAAAGCCAAAGGAAGAAGAAGTAGATTTAGCAACTTTTGGCTTTTAATTAGCCTTTTGCTAATTTTGGCTTAAAGCTATCATTCTGATAATTTTATTGTTTTCAGCTACAGTTCTGCTACTTGTGACTATCAGCCAGCTTTTAGATACTTTTATCTTATTGTATCTATTTCTATACTATTAGCTAGACTTCTGCTTTTTTAGCTTTTAGCTAGTCTTTTTTCCTTCTTCATACAGGTTTGTGTGCTGAACAATGGCACAGTTGGTAGCTGCCACCTCTCAGCAAGGACGTCGCCCAGGTTAACATCCTGGCTGGGGGCTCCTCTGGATGGATCTTGCATGTTCTCTCTGTGCATGTGTGGGTTTTCCCCGGGTACTCCAGTTTCCTCCCAAGGACCAAAAACATGCATGTTAGACTGATTGGTAACTCTAAATTGTTCCTAGGTGAGAGAGTGAATGGTTGTTTGTCTCTACATGTCACTGTGATGGACTTGGACCTGTCCCGGGTGTCCCTCGCCTCTCACACAGTGATGGATGGGCATGGGCACCAGTGACCCCCGCAAACCGAAAAGGAAGAAGCGGGTAAAGATAATGGATGAATGGATACTAACAAATGCAATTTTCAAATCAATAAATATCCTCACTACATTTTGTTATTTTCATCTATGTATTCTGTTATATGTTCTACTAACTCTATCAATTACCATCACATCAGTCATGCTGGAGTACTGTTCCAAGTCACAAACTCGGCATTCTAAAAGAACAACCCTTTTATCCTTTTCCTCATTTTGCCTTTTAAGGTCTTTTATCTCTCACATTAAGTCCAGAATAACTTTTTTGTTGTTTTGAAATGTTTGTCATTTCTTCAGACAAGAAGTTTAGTGACTTCATCATATCTGGATATGGGCACCAGTGATTCAAAAAGGAAGAAGTGGGTAAACATGGATGGAGGGAATACAGGTTAGTCACATTTGCAGGAGAGACCTGTACTTTGTTAGCCATACCATTTGATACTTCCAGCATTTTGCAAGCTTTTTGTTTTTCAATACATGCAGTTCATTCTAGATTTTAGCTAGACTTTTGCTACATTTAACTTTTTGCTACTCTTTAGCTACTTTAGCTTTTAGTTAATCTTTTCACACAATAAGCTTACCATTTGCTACTTTCAGTCTTTAATTATCTTTTTGCTGCTTTAGCTAAATTTGGTTATTTTTAGATTTTAGCTAGCGCAGCGTTGTGCTACCTATGGTTTTGAGCTAGTATTTTACTTTGTATTGCTTTCAGCTATTTTACTTTGTTTAACTTTTAGCCAGTGTTCAGCTTCCTTTAGTGTTAAGAAGCCCATTTCTGTTTCTTAGCTCATTTCAGCCGTCGTTCAGCGCTTTGCATTTGCGCTGCGTTTTCACAGAAAATGTAACTTCTCTTGTTTCAGTTGCTTCACAACACACACACACACACACACACACACCCATATAACACCT